TCGGACGAAAGGGTAAGGAAGGACAGTAGCTACGTAGGTACAGTATATATGTCTTTTATCCTTAACACGCATTTAATGACATCTTCCCCCCCCCCCCCCCACAAAAAATATATATGGATATCTGCACATCACATTCATAGCAAACAAAAAAATTCAAAGTAACAATGATGTATTTTTTCAATACTGGAAATATTGAAATATTGAAAAATGAATTTCAGTATTTTTCAATACTGAAAAAATAACAATCATAAAATTTGTCGTACCTGTGGTGTCACTTATTTCATAAAGGAACATTATATTGAATTTGTGAAAGGAAATTGTGCTGGCGCTTAGATGTTCTTATAAAGTCGAGCTTCAGCTTGTATGCCCCGGCTTTCAGTTGTTGCTTAATGCAAACTTACTTCATATGTCTTGTTTCATTTGCCATTTAAGATTTCCCAGTCTGTGCGTGCGTCTCTCCATATGTCGCTCTTTCCTTAGACTGTTAAATTATCTTTTATTAACATAATTAGGTACATCTGCATTTATGCAGCTGCCATAGACTATATGAAGGGTTACTTTTGTGCTGCTTAGAAATCTCCATCTCGCTGGATGTTTAATCATACAGGAGCATGCAGTCACTAGTCTGTCCTTACTAACTTTGCATGTAGTATGTGAACTATTACACAAGTGTATAAAGTAATTACAAAGTTACAGGTGCCTGATAGCGACAGGTGTGGAGGGTGTGGCCCCCCACTAATTGACTGGGCATCAATAATATAACGAAATCATGTCTATTAAACACAATTAAACACCTGAGCGGGGGATTGAGAATCTGGCTAATATTCCAATTATACTCTTAATACATTTCCCATATTTCAATTAAAATTTTGCTGTGGTTTTGATAACATTACTAAAAAATAACTTGTATACATATTATTTTATGTTTTTCCAATTTAGAACCGGAAATGATTTGCTGTAACTTGGTGAATATCCTATCTTAATTGGGGGTATGGAGCAAAGACGGCTTCTATTATAATTACTTGTTTCCGCGTTAGTTTTATCAAATTGTTGCCATTAATTAGATTAGTTAATTTTGTCCCCTGTTATGCGTGTTGCACTGTAGATAAGACAACTGGAGAATACGTCATTGTTAGTGACCTTCAAAAACTGTTCCCCCTAGTACTAGACTAAGGGGGGGTCAGGAGAAAGCGCTAAGCCATTACGACTATATAACACTTGAAAGGTATGAGGACTTGGGATGGGATGGGGGAAAGGAATGGTACCCAACCACTTGGACGGTCGGGGATTGAACACCAACCTGCATGAAGCGAGACCGTCGCTCTACCGTTCAGCCCCAAGAGGTTGGGCAGTTGGTAGAAAGAACTAGTACCTGTATATTAATTTAATAGTACGCGCGAGAACAACTAGAAATTAATGACAGTTTGAGAGCAAAGTTTTGTCTGCATAGGTGCATCAGCATTTATGCAGCAACTCTGAACTATATGAAGGGTTACAGTGTCCCAAAGCTAACTATGTGACATTAAATAAAAAATACCCATCTCTCAAGATGATTAGTCATACAAATGGGCAAAATAAAGTTGTAGATTATATAATAATTTCTAGATATATATAAATGGTAAAACATGTTGGTTTTAGGGTTTTGCTAATATTTACACCCAGATAACTTTTGTAAACATATATATATATATATATATATATATATATATATATATGTCGTACCTAGTAGCCAGAACTCACTTCTCAGCCTACTATTCAAGGCCCGATTTGCCTAATAAGCCAAGTTTTCCTGAATTAATATATTTACTATAATTTTTTTCTTATGAAATGATAAAGCAACCCTTTTCTCTATGTATGAGGTCAATTTTTTTTATTGGAGTTAAAATTAACGTAGATATATGACCGAACCTAACCAACCCTACCTAACCTAACCTAACCTATATTTATAGGTAAGGTTAGGTTAGGTAGCCAAAAAAGCTAGGTTAGGTTAGGTTAGGTTGGTTAGGTAGACGAAAAAACATTAATTCATGAAAACTTGGCTTATTAGGCAAATCGGGCCTTGAATAGTAGGCTGAGAAGTGCGTTCTGGCTATTAGGTACGACATATATATATATATATATATATATATATATATATATATATATATATATATATATATATATATATATATATATATATATATATATATATTCGTGAATTTACGAGGACAGGAAGCCGGCGGCTTGTCGATCTCTCCCCCCCCCCCCCGTCCCATTTGCCTTGATCTTCTCCAGCTGGACTTTAAAATTTAACAGTTTTAGCGTTTATGGCTTCGGCGGGTAGGCAGTTCTATGGGTTCATAACCCTGTTGGTGGAAAAGAAAATTCCGTTTTCAGTCCTACATTGTGACTCGTGCTTTGAAACCGTTGTTCCTTGTTCGTGTTACATCTGACCTTTTGGAGAAATTGTTAGGATTTTTATCCTCCAAATTGTTCAGTGTTTTATTTCAATGAGATCCGCCCTGTCATGCCTGGTTTGCAGTGTTAGGCCTCTGGTCTCTCAACTGTTTGATACGCGAGTGTATAAACACACTATAATTGCATTTGCCGCTTCTTAATTCTGATTAGAAATTCATCCACGCTTTCCTTTAGATTTGTAAAAACTTAAATTTGCATAAGATACAGAATATCCTGTATAGTTATTTCATAAAGTATGACATTACTGTAATAATTGAAAATAAAATGATCATTGTGGTACTGTTCCTGAACTTGGTGCACAAGTTCTCCGCACTGTAAATGTTTTGCATTGCTTGAAATGTCAGTACCACTGATGTACGCATTTGATTTGTAACTAGTTGAGTGAGGTTGATGGGTTCAGTTGCTTAGCCAATAAAGTGCCTTTATTCCATCCTCTACCGCCCACAAGAATGGTATATAGTGTTATGTAAACTCCCCAGATCAACCCTGCTTATATTAATTAGCCTCACACGCTTCCCACTTGACTGATAAGTTTATTAAATTTATCATGGCCTCCCCATACTCATCCCGGTCAGTGTTGGAACAATTCAAGTACGTTTATTGAGACAATAAAATACCTCTCAAAGGGATTGAGTAGCTTCGGCTATTTCTACCCGTACCCGTCACGTACGGTTAAAGGTAAGAGTATTAGATTATTGTAGACAACTGGTTCCCAGTTTGGGAACCAAGGGAGTGTAGCTACTGGGAACAAAAAGTTCCAAGTAGTACGGCCTATGGTAAGCCCGTAGTGGACTTATCTGGCACAGGAACCGGGCTGTGTCCAAAAGTATCGTAACGCAATATATATGCAATATAGTCATACTGGCTGAGCGTTTTCTGATAATTACCTTGTATTGTAACTTAGAACAGTTACTAAAAGTTGAGTCTCCGCAACAGGTGACTTACATTAGAGATGTCTAGACTAAAGGGCCGGGAACTGTACGGCTCACTTGTTAGGGCCTCTTGATACTCTTGTTAGGGTTTGATACTATTAATGTAAATATTATCAGAGTATAGATAATCATTAATGGTGTAATTTGATTAGTTAAACGAATATTGGTGTTCAGTTTCTGAACTCACTATAATTCTTATGTTCCTCTGAGATTTTCAATCAACACACTCTGGATTGGTATATGGAATTAAGAGATGAATTATAAAAAATGTCGATTACAAATAGATTCTTCTGTAAATTAAACAATTTGGCTTCGTGATAATGCCAGTGGAGGTGTTTAGGACACAGGTGAATGAAGGCATTCGGATGCGGTGTTGACTCAGCTGATGTGTGTTTTGGGTGCGCGGGCTGAACGAGCCCAGGGTATGGACGCTCGGGCTGCCCTAGGTACTACTACTACTACTACTAATAATAATAATAATAAATAATGTATGTTTAGGGAAAGTTCATACATAAAAAATGAGTATCTAGAAATCCAACAGTTCTTTTAAGAGTACATATATACTCAAAGCCACTGATACACAGCGTTTCGGGCGTGAACGAATATTACCAGAATTTACCTGAGGGCCACTAACATACTCGTGGCCTCGATGAGGAGAGGAAGCCGGCGGCTTGTCAAAGGTCAATTAATTGGGTATTATTAACTTACCCTTGTTTGCATGTATATAGACGTCATACCTAATCTTAAGCACACGATGTGACAAGTTATTAAATTATTATTCAACCTTGGTGGTGTAATTTGTACTCATAAGCATTAAGTTTAATTAGGTGTTTTGTATAGGTTAGGCTAACGACTAGCACTGATGGTGTTGGGCCAAAAATTTGGCTACAGATATTTGCATAGATAGTTGTATAGAGATCTGCATAGATATTGGATCTGTAGATTTGGGATATAATATTAAAGAGAAGTATTGTTGGTATGTCAGTCTTACCTTATACATCATAACAATAAAATGTCAAATAATAGGTACCAGTAAAGATAGTACAGTACTGTATTTAAATAGTTTGGTAATTATCATAATAAGAAATTGGTATACAGTACTGTATAGTGCAAATGTTGCCTTGTGGTGGTTGTGTGCAATTTATAATTTTGATCAACATGTAAATTTTTATTGCACCTATTAATAAATTTCATTACAATTATATTGTTTGTATAAGCAGTTGTCTCGTTATCTTAGTCCACATTACCAGCAGAATCTTGAATGAACAACTTTTTTAACTTGTAAGTTATTTTTGTTGATGGAGTAGCATGTTTATTCTTTATGTAATGTCTAAGCCATTTTCAACATTTTCTTTTACATTTATCACTCGTCTTTATTATCACTTTATGTACAATAGCAAAATGTTTGTGGAATTATTTGGCAAGTTTGTATTCCATTAAGTATTCAGCAGCTTAGGCTGTCTGAAATTTTACATATTTAGCATGAGGCTACCCTTCAAGCAAGAGGTGCAACACATGAAAGAAAAGGTAAACTTGTTTGAATGTTAATCATTTTAGGAATGCTAGAAAGAAGGTAGTGTACATGCATTGAATTGTATTTTTTTCCAACAGAAGTGCTTATACGAAACCGCAATATGGAAGACGTAGTACAGAAAATCCACGAAGGTAGCACACTATGGAAGGTTCGTGGTGTCAACAAATGGTTCCATCGTCATTACAAAGTTGACATTGACAACATGAGCCTTGTTGGGGAATCTAAGAAATGGTGGTCCCCTGGTGGGGGTACAGGTATGTAAAATTTCTTGTTACCGGTGCCTTTTCATGCACGACTAAATACTTTAATGGATTTATAACAGTTTGTAAAATGGTATTTGGCTAATGGACAGTTGTGTTCCATAAATTTGGAAAATAATCTTGAATTGCTTTAATGCCAATTATCTTTGAGAGATGTTGAATTATGTTTATTAAGCAAAAACTTTACACTAAATATTGACTGTCCTTGTGGGATTAGGTCAATAATTAGATAATTTTTACTGCTGTATATAAAAATGAGGCCATTAAATCTATACAGATACAGTACTTCTTGTATATACAGTACTATTCAGTGGATGTATACTTGGATAAAGACAAGACAGTATGACACCGAATTGAGTAGACCATTTTTTAGTTCATTTATTATGCTCCCCATATCCATCCTGTGGGTGGTAGAGGAAAGAGTTACAGAGGCACATAATGGGCTCAGGGACTGGACCCCACAATTCATTTTGTTAAGCAGGTAACAATCTTGATAAGCCAGTTACAAAATTCAATGCACATTGTCACATTATCAATGGGCTCAAGACCAACCAGAGGTACAGTTTCTAAATTAAGCAACTGACATATGTGGAGAGCTAGTGTCACAATTGATATGTTTGTCCTGGACACCTCCGCCCATCCAGTGGGCAGCGGTGGATAGTTTAGAATCACTTAGTTACTCCCTACAGTTCGCAAACTGGGGATATTTGGCTAAGATTTCTGGTAGCAAATCACTTTGAATTAAATATTTACATCTCTGGAACATTTGTTATATAATTACCTCTGGATTCATATATCTTTTCGCACTCCATCACATGGTGACGAAGGGGGTGCAAATAATTTTGAGTTTTCATTTGGTCAGGTATACATCAGCAGATAATGAGAATTCCCAGAGATACTTGTAACGGTCTAAACCGAGCAGTAGTACCATTGAAAGCAGATAGTGGGTGCCAGACTCTATTTAATAAAAACTACATGAAATATAATGCAAAACAAATTACTGTACTAATGCAAGTACCATTAGCTCTGTTCCCAACTCATAATTGAGGATCCTGTGTTAGATTCCAAGGTGAGACAGAAATGGTTGGACACGTTTCCTTTCATCTAATGCCTCTATTTACCTAGCAGTAAATAGGTACCTAGGAGTTAGGGGAGGCCAGGGGAGACCAAATATCCTCCCTTGGCCAGGGAGGATCGACTAGGTGCCAATCCTTAACTGTATGCCTCTGTTCACCCAGCAATGAATGGGTACATGGTTGTTAAACGATTTGGTGGGTCAAAAATTAAGATTAAGGACCTGCCCAAAATGCAAAACAATGTGTAGTTTATCATTGGAACAGCAGGCACGGGAAAGATTTATCAATGTAGGGAAAAGTAGGATTATGGTCTTCGAAAGAAATGAATTGGATGTTTTTGTGAGCATTTTAGAGTGGCAAGACAGTGATTACAGATGTAGGGAAGAAATAGGGAAAGGAGGTGGCAATGTTAGATAATAATGGGAGTATGAATGAGTGTAAAATGAATAAATGATAGGTGAATAATAAATTAAAAGTAAATGGAACTTTAGAATGGAAAGTGGCAGTGTGCTCAAGGGTAAAATTTTTTAATAGAAAGCTTGTGTAAGTATGTAAGATTGGTATAGCAGTGAGGGAGTATGAGATGTAAGAGTGAAGCTACTGTATATATATATATATATACTGATATGGCACAAGCATATTTAGGAAGACAAATCTTTAATGATGTACAAGGATGAAGCAAAGAAATCATATTGGAGAAGCAGATGAGCATTATCTTAAAAGGCAAAACTAAAACTAAATATGGAGTGGTTTGAGAGCTCCGAAGAGTGAAAGGTTTGTATAGTAAGAGTATTGCGGAGACACTACTATGGCCATCCTGCAATGAAATTCAATCAAGAATGTACCAATATACATGTGTACATATGTCATACACCTCACTCCAGTAATTAGGATGATAGTAATCGCTTAAATGAAGGGAAGTACATTAGAACTTTGGCAGGTTCTAACCGAATATTAGGCTTTATATTCTGAATGACAGGCAACTCACATTTGTCTTATTAATTTAACGTTAGTTTCATTTGTGAATACAACATTTGTTGTATAATACATTCAAGGTTGGCAGAGTTTACAAAGTTAGGTGTGGTGGTAGGGATGTTTTTTTTCTGCTTCTTTTTACCAGAGCTCGTGAACATGTAAAATGTAGTTTTTGTAATAGCCTTATTGTTCTCCATAAAAGGAAATGTTATTTATGAGTATCTTATAGTAAATACTATTAGATCAAATGGTAATTTGATCTCAATACATCTAAAAAGTGTGATCCGATTCAACTGAATTTTATGCATAAAATTGATTATTTTGGGGGTTAAAATTTCTAAAATTATTAAAGTGCATACATTCAGCTTTCATTGATGTACTGCATGTGTGCAGTTTTGTTAATAGCACAGTATTCAAATTGTTGCCAAATTTGTTTTATTTTAATCAATTGAGAAGCTGTTTCTATCATTAGAATTTAAGTTTTATTGTAATTTTTTTTTTTTAAAGAGACACAAGTTGACATATTATTTTACTTACGAAGTATGTTAAACTATGAGACATTAATTTTTACTATATATTTGTTTGTATATTCATGGAGGGCTGTAGACTATTACTAATTCTGTAACTGTAAGATAACATTACAGTAATGCACAATTTGCATTATGCATGTGTAAATACAGCTGCCTAAAGAAATCTTTCCAAATTAAACAAAAAAAAATAGAACAGCAATTTCAACTTGGTGGCATGATTTACATAATTTCTTAGTGTGAAGTTTCTATTTATTTCTGTTTTGTATAACTACTTGATGCACTCTTTCAAACTAGTGAATGCATGTATGAAATTTTTAAGTTGTTTGGCAAATGTTTTTACCAAATAATTTAGAAATAAAAAATAACCATTTAAAATTCAGTGAAGGCTCTAGGGAAAAGATAAAATTGGGGCCACAATTTCTGCATGAATACAAACACCCACACACATGCCTATCTGTGGTCTCAGGATTCCAGGTTTAGCTCTTGGGACTTGCCTCTCCATCTTACTCAAATAGTGCATAACTTGGGTTGATAAAAGTGGCAGGATTCCAAATAGCTAAAGCTAGACACCCACAAGCACAGGCCAAGTAAATACCGTACACCAGAGTTTCTCAACCTCCGTGCTGCAGAACCCTGAAGTTCTGCCCGAACATTGTCAATGCTTATTTTTTGTTTACAAAAATGGTTATTCCTGTGATTAATAAATATATACTTTTGAGATTAATAAACATGTTATAATAATTTTAGTGCAGGGGATCCTCGAGACATGGTAATTCTATCAAGGGTTGTGCAAGGGTTAAAAGGTTGAGAAACACTGCTCTGCACTAACATGTACGCCTATAGTGTGTGAGAGTTTTTGGAGAGCAGTCAAATGTACCATATTCAAATACCCTGTTGTGGAGGGTAGTATGACTGTGGTTAAAGTTTAATCTGACTAATTTACATTATTAATTTTTTACCTTAAGTATTGTTTGAGCATTTTAAGTACAGTATTTTATCTTTTGCTTTACTTCACATATGTTTTTAAACGGTGGAATCTGTCTTAACAGGACTTAATCCTGTACACAAGGTACTGTTATGACTGAAATGCATTACCAAAATACTGTAGCTACTGTATGACTTGTGTAGGTGAGCTGCATTTTGTTGGATTCATTTTTGTAACTATGCAGTAGCAGCTATTAATTTTATTTATGCATGCATTTATTTACCCTTCAACTAAATGTTTTGGTTATTTTTTATATATATTCATTACTGTATTAATTGTTGGGCCGTAAGACATGATTACTTCGGCTTTAAAATTTACTTTGTAAATGATATTTAATTTTGCATGGTGCCTCATTTGTCTAGTTTTTCTCCATTCATCTTGCTTCATCTTTACTTGTTCATATCTTCAGTTATGTGTTTAAGTAAAAGTTAAAGGAAGTTGCCAATGCATTTGTCGAATCATTATTGTACTAATCTTAATAGGACGTTGGCAACAAAATTCGTACCATGAGTTTTTTCTTCAGAGATAGTTTTATATATATATATATCAATTCTCTAGGTATAAACACTATCAACCTCTCTTGCAGTGAGGCCAAAACAAAGTGCATTTGTTTAACTTGAAAATTTTTATTAAATTCGTTTTATCCTTTATTATACTGAAATCGTATATGTGAACGGTTCGTGTATTGCAAATGCAAAGTATAGTACTGAGTAGGATACACAAAGAAATCAAACCAATAACATCCCTCATTATATATCAAGCTAGTTTGAGTTCTTTGTGTATCTGAAGCTGGAGCATACAATTGAACTAATTTACCCCCACCAACCAGTGTGCTTGGGGGTTATATGGGAAAATGTGGATTGGCTTCAGTACAAGCCTCCAGACTTCCAATGAATTAAGTGGAATCCCAGGTTGTATAACTGGTACCAAGTAGTGGTACAGGGGGTAAGGTGCACGGCTGGTTGTACCAAGTGTGGTGGTACAGGGGTAAGGTGCACGGCTGGAAGTTCCTTGACCACTGTTCCTTTGGGTCACCTCAATGCTCCAATTGATTTTCTCACTGAGCAAGATTTTACCATTTAAATCATTTAGTTTTGTTAATGTTGCTTTCTTTAATCATAGAAAAAAATATACAGTATAAAACTATTTGAAACTAAAATAATTTACTTATGTTCTATATATTTCAGATGACATGTTGTACCTTTTTGAAGGTGAATATAGCGTTAGTAACAATTTTTGTCAAAAGTATAGTTGGTAAAGTACTGTAATGTAATTATTTAAAATACAGTACATATAAAATATTACATTACTCTGAATTGGTAGTATGATGCATTAACAGTACCCAAGTTATTATTGTAGTGACGTACAATTCAGAAGCTAGTGTAGACACTAGCTGTATAAAAATACAGCAGGCATTAACATGTATGTAGTATTGTATGTATACAGTACCATACTGAGTATTTATAGAATGGCAATAGTGAATTGCTTATGAATTTATAAGAGCCGAGAAACAGTAGTTCCTAAGATGGGTTCTTAACTGGAGGTTGAGACTAAATTTCATAACAATTGCACTAGCTGCTAGTTTGTATATTTGCTATTTTGTTATGAAGTGTAATCATTATTTTGTTGCAGCTTTTTTTGTTTCTAGCTATCTTTACGTGAAGTAAAAGTTATTGACATCATTTGAAGTCATACAGGTAGCTAATGGGACAGGTGGTGATATTTTGACAATCTGGTGAAAGGAAGGGGGGGGGGTCACATACTGGGTAATCCATTGGGGTATGTAATTGTAAAAACATTGAGAACCCTTGCTCTAAAGTATTATCACTAGATATAAGGCAGTGCTATCCATTATATAAATTACCCTCCAGTTCTGTTTATGGCGATCCCTGTTATAGGCTGTTCAGTTAATCTGCAAATTTTTTCTTTTGTCTGCTTCATATTTTCTTTACCATCTCTTCTTTATAGCCATCATTGACTCATTGTGATGTATATACAGATTTTTCTTCTTTGCAGTGTGAATATATGAAATGATCTTTTGAGTACTAAATGAATATGCCTCTTAATAACCATTACCCATTTCTAATATTATTTTTGTCTCCGCTGTGTTGTAGGCAGCGATGGACCAGAAAATGCAGGTAAAGCCATTTGAATATATGCTAATGCTTGGTAAATAGGCTTACTAACATGTAGTGATACTAACATAGAAATGGTAACTTATTGAACTGTGAATCATTTCGTCCTGGTGACAGCAGTCTTACAAAATAGTTATTTATCTAGAAATAAAAAATATTGCATGTATTAGAATGTAAATACAGTACAGTATTGTTGCGATTGTATTTAAATTGCGTACTCGGCAGTAATACTTTGGAATACAGGAACTTAAACACTATTCCTAGCTCGGGTAAACCTGGCAATTGTCTGCTTATGGAATGTAACTTATTGGCTATGAAATTTTTTCCTTCATATGCATGCAGGTGCAGACTATCTTCAGGAATTTGAGTCTATTTGCATTACCTTGTAATTTAAAAATGTATTTCACTTGTGTATTATTGTATGATGATTTGCAGTGCTATACTAAATCTTATTAATGAATATAGGCAAATGTTTTGAATCCTCCATCAATATCATTAATGCAATGCTCAGTGTTTTAACTAGACGAAATACTTGCAGCCAAGTACATTATTGAAAAGTACACAATTACGTTTAGTCTAATTTGGTAACACTACCTGATTGCTAGATTACTTAATTTTTCAATTTCAGAATTCGGTGTTAATGGTTTGTTTTGCTTCATAGCTTTGGGACAAAATATTTTTCTATACTATACTGCTTATTTTTTAAATAAGAACAGTTGATGATGATAGTATTGTTTTTACTCCTGTCATCCATTCCTCTATTGTGTAACAAATTAGATACAGTACATTAAAGTAAACAGTCTATGCCTTCCCTCCATAAGTTTACCAAAGTGGAATCTAAATACTGTTCTTCCTCTAGTGTTGCAGACACAATGTGGTGGTTCCCTAGGAATTAGTCAGTGAATGGAGGTATCTTGTCATTAGTCTAGATGTATAGGCAAGAATGGAAAGTATGAAAACACCATAAAGATTAAACACAATATGTTATCTTGTTTGGTAATATCAAATTTAACGTCTTGTGATGCCTAAGAATGAGTTGGACATTGGAGTGCCAGGCACCAGTGTCCAACACCCTAGAATGTTGATATCTGGACGTTCACAAGTTGAACATTCAGGAACGAGGTTTGCTCTTCTAGGAATTTCTAATATTGAAACCAAAGGGAAGTATATTGTTTACCATAATATACATGGTTGCACTGGCTAAATTTCCTTACAAATGGGTGACATTTTATCTGAATTAGTGCACAAGGGTTTCCAAACAGTCGTGGAACTCTAGACACTAAAAGGTTTTAATTAATAACTTCGTTGGTTTTGCATGTACATCATTCATTCCAGAGCTGTCTCATAAGAATTGATTTTTTTCAATCAGGTTCATAAGTTTGGCAATAAACCTATACAGGACTGTACCTACAACACATTTTTGGCCACTGTAATAATCAATTACAGTGTCCAGTAAATGGTAACCTTAACCAATAATATTTTTATAACCTTGTAGTAAAATGGCTACATTGTTTTTAAAATTAATTCAGACTGTGTGCAATATTGTAACATTTGTTTGACTATACCACAATGAACTAGGATGCTTTAAATGTTTCAAAATTAAATAAAATTCAAGAGTAGTGTGAAAATTTAATAATGTTGATCAGACCTGAACACAGGCACAAATGCCACCCAAACATTGTTCACATAAAAAAATTTATATTCACATTTGGTAGTGCATGTTTCTACTTTGTAAAATATTTATACTAAGCTTAGAATATTATGTGTGCAGTTGTTTTTATAATTATAGAAGAAACCTACTGCATAGATATTTTAAAAAGTAGAAGGGAATTGTGTAGAATACGATAGCAGTTGAGCATTGGAATTTAAAAAAAATCTACTGGCTAGATTTTGGCTCGCTGTCTAAGCGGTTCCAACACATCACCATACTGTCAGAGCCACTAAGCATGTACAGTAAGCACAGTAAATATATACTGTACATAAATTAGAAGAGAATGTTGAAATATAGAATAACACTATTAGATCATAGGATTGGATTACTGTATTCAGTGTAAGGGCACAGGTAGTTAGTTACCCAAGTGTAGTTACAGGATGAGAGCTATGCTGGTGGTGGTCAGTTTTCCTGGTACTCTATCATATAACGCTTTGAAACTACTATGGTTTTGGCCTCCTCCATCTTCTAATCTAACTTGTTCCAACAGTCTACCACTCTTTTTGCAAAAGTGAATTTTCTTAGGCATCATTGTTTAGTTAGTTTAAATCAATGTCCTCATGTTCTTGAAGTTCCAGGTCAGGAATTTTTCCGTCAATTTTATGGATTCTCTTTACTATTTTATACCTAGTGATCATATTGCCCTTTTTTTCCATCTTATTGATTTGTCATATTTAATGCCTCTAACCTCTTCTTGTAGCTCTTGTCCTTCAGTTCCGGGAGCCATTTAGTTGCACGTCTTTGCACCTTCTCCAGTTTGTTGTGCTTAAGATATGGACATCATACAAGTGCTGCATATTCCAGCTTTGGTCTAACAAAAGTTGTGAACAGTTTCTTCAGTATTTGACCATCCATGTATTTAAAAGCACTTCTGAAATTGGAAAGTGTAGCATAGGCTCCTCGCACAATGTTCTTTGTTGTCCTCAGGTGATAGTTTTATATCTAGAACCATCCGTAGAGGAAATGGTAGTGCAGCGAGTGTTGCTAGTAAGTTGGTAAGGTGTAGTGGGAGTTGCTTAAATACTCTACACATTTACCATATCTGCAAATAATGTTAACATTTTTGGTGTATTTGGTTAATATATATAAATGTGTACAACCATTTGTATACCGTATCTCGACCTTTTTATACAGAGTGAATTGAGAATTTAGTTGTTTATAAACTTTCCCTTATTTCAGTAGTAGGATTAAATGATATATTTTAAATGGGACTGTTTTTTAACAGTAAAGTAAATATAGTATTTTTTAGTATAATATTTTTAATGTGTAAGGGTTTAACTACAGTATATGAAGAATATTACTAATATTCCCAGGAGTCGGATTTATTGACAGTAGTTGTTTAAAGACTAAATATCTCTTGTAAAATTTAAAGCTTGTTAATGTCAGTGTTTGAAGTCAATATGACAAGTTTTTCCTATTCAAACATTATCGATTCACTTAAATTTTAAGAGACGTTTAAAAGTTTAACATCTGTTAATGTTCTTTTGCAGTTCCTTTGATAGAGATCACAGAGGTCCGTGAAGGCTGGAAGACGGACACATTCAACAAAGTTAGTAGCCACTCTGAGAAGACCAAAGATAAAGCGGCAGGTAAACTTTGTCAACTTTGGGGTATATTCAGCTGCTCAGATAAAAGTTAAATGTCAACCCTTTTGCTGCAGAGTTAGTTTGAAGGAGTTGAAGAATTTTAAGGAAGGTGTTTTAAATACTGAGTGAAGTCATTTCAAGAAAAGCTCAAGTGTCATCAGTTGCATTATGTATAAGCACTTATCATTCGTAAATACTCTTAATTGGAATGATTACTGCATGATATTGTTAGGGGCTATTCATTTTGAGAATGGGTTGAAAATGGGAACACTCAAGTGACTTGTAAATATATAGCTGTATTATGTTTTTAAGCAATTAATTTTAACCAATTTAGAAATGCCTTCAGTTATTGGCCCCTTAACATACAGGGCTTGCCTTTCAGCTTGAGGTACTAGCTCACTCTCTAGGACATAACTCGATGCATTGAACTTGTTATGAATTTGGTGAAGGTTGTAAAATTTTTGCAGCATAATTGTTAATGTAGTAATGTTGAAGGGAGTGGAGGTGGAAGGTCTCGAATGATAGGGCACAAGATGGTTTATACTCTGAGAGAGGTGTGTGAAGGCTATTATGGATTATAACAGATGCAGTTAAGAAAGCTAGGGCCTATTTAATGTCAACAAGTTCAACCACTTACTGTGCAGTAGAATGATGGCCTTGATTATTGCACGTTGGTGTTCAATCATCGACTGTCCAGTGGTATTCCTTTCCTCCATCTTTTCCTAAATTCTTATCATTGTAGCCTTTCTAAATGTTAGACTCAACAAGGTAGGGGGATTGTGATGGTGTCGGGCCAAGGTTGAGAAGAAAATAATCCCAGTTGTACTGGAAATTGTGATGACAATTTAGTTTCATAAGTGTAATTAAATAATTTCCACACGATAGCCATAATTTATTCCAATCTTAAACCATTTTCCAGTACATTGAGATCTGAAGCACTGTCAAATATTTTCTGATTGTTATATTTTATTGATGCCACTGCCTATTGATTTTTTATTATTATTTTACTTGTATACTAGGTATATTGGGTTTGTGAGAGTACATAACATTGGTGTTCTTACATTCTTGCTAAATCACTAACATGCTTAGTGTTTTGGGTAGGTCCTTAATCTAGCAGATACGGCAAGGAAAAGATTTATCTAATATTTTCTTCAGCTGGCGATGAACCGTCATTAGAAGAAAACAAGTGCTTTTCAATCATCCACGGACCAGGTGGGAGGGAGGTGTTGGACCTGGTTGCAGCTACTGAAGATGAGAGGGATGCTTGGGTGTCGGGTCTGACACACCTTGTTCAGTCTGTCAAGGCTCTTCATGAAGAGAAACAGTATGATGTGTAAGTAGGAGTGTTGACATAAGTTATGGTTATATTATACAAGCCTTCTTTCTCTATGAAAGTGTTTTAATTTCTTTCTTTCACCTAGTAATAAAAAATCATATTTGTAATTTGAATTACAGTATAAGGCAAGGAACAGTCATATGTTGAATCCCCAAATATAGATCATAAAACTTCTCAAGCAAATTAACTTGTAGTTCCTTAGTTGTTCATGTAAAATATAGTAGTTGCTATAGTAATATATATTTCTTGGTACAATTTTTTCATTTAATTATGTTGGTAGAAGCAATCATTTTCACAATGTACACAATTAAAGGCAAATAGTTTTATGTATTCTTTAGGGGACAGACAACATACAGGTAATTGCCTGAAGGTTTGCTGACAACTACATTTATATTTAGGAAGCTAGATAGAGCAGGGATATTCTGGAAATAAAGTATAATGTTCATAATTTGTGTAAACATATAGGAATTTAATTTGTTAATAGATATCAACACCCTTGCACATGCCTATTCTGTATTTACACAACTAAATGTGGTTACTATAATAAATACACTGAATACTGAAATGTAAGTGAATATAGAACTTTTATTGTGTGCAGCTAATTTTCTATTGACATTGACCACTAAACTCAATCAATTTAGCCTTTTTGTACATGCTCAGGTGCCTACCAAGGATTCCATGTTTTGATGATCTATTAGTGAGGCCCATACTACATACTGTCTTTTGCTATATACCATACCTTTGCTCCATAAGTCTGCCTTTCCTGTATTCCTAGCTTTTGTTGTATTAAACGATGGTCTCCACCTAGTGGATCAGTTATTTGAAAAGTTGCAGGCAATTAACATGCTTCCCAATTCTGAATTACTGTGTTGACCAAACTACACACTAGATGGTGAAGGGTCGACGACGTTTTGTCGACTTCAGAATGGTCCAGGATGGGCCAAAACGTCTTTGTCCCTTCACTTTCTAGTGAGTGGTTTGGTCAACATATTTCAGCCACGTTATTGTGACTCCTCGTCTGCATCTGAATTAGTGTACTGAGCAAGAGAGCTTGCTTTCCATTTAATATTTTCTTTTTAAGTCACCTATTAGCAGTTACATTTTCGGAGGGAACCTTAATGGCTTGTTTATCAATATAGAAGCATGATAAACATTATAACTTTGGTTATGTATTTATTTTTATATTAAAATCTGTTTTATCGAGTCTCAATATTTGAATTTGTCGTGTACAGGTGGTTACGGCAACAGTTCGAAGAAGCTGACAAAGACAATAATGGATCTCTTAATTTTAATGAGTGTTGCACTTTGCTCAAGCAGTTAAACATCAAAATGGACAAAACACATGCCAAGAAGCTATTCAATGTAAGTATTCTACTAGTTTACTATCTCTGAAGTATTAGTGGGTTTTATTCAGTAACCGAAAGCTTACAGGCTGCATTTATCTTTGTATAGCATTACTTTCTGAGCTGTTCCATTCCTCTTGGTCCTCCTTGGGATAAGTAAAGAAGATGCCATTTCTGTTTATTGGTCATGCTCTTGCTACACATCAAGTGCTCTACTCTATTTTTTAAACTTTCACACAGTTTTCCAAGATGTTTTTGCTGTTTATTGTACATTTTTTTACCTGCTTGACTTTTGCAATCCTATGTGGAGTAAATGTTTGACTTTATTGCCATCGAATTTTCCATCATTTGTGTTGGCAGGAAGTGCCAACAGATGTTTATATTTGGGTAACTTCATATTGGTTGTTGCATTATCTGAGGTCCTAAATAATTCAATTTTCATTGAGATTTGCTGGAGATGATCTCAAAACACGTTCCATTTATATTTTATTGTATGATCTGTGACCTAAATAAAAAGTTGCAATAGCAGAAATACTGAGCATATCTCTTCAGAAACCTCAAGTTCTCAGATTCTAATAAAGGCTACCATGTATGAGCCATGTTAAGAAAGCCCACATGATTGCTTGTGCCTCATTTCTGAGCAGCGATGCTCCGAGAGCAGACTAAAATTTTATCATTTTGTATTTCAGTGCGTCTTTGTTACTAAGCTAACACTAGTTTCAGAATGGGTTTAATTTCTATAAATCTTTGATGCCCACTTTTAGTTGTCTCCTGAAACTTGCTTGACCTCAAATCAGATGGATCAACCAAATTGTATGCAATAGTGTTCTATAAGTTTTATGGTGTATAGTATACAGTATTTGGCTTAAAACTTGTGCAAGAACACTCTTAACTCCCTACACTGCTCCAGTCACTATTTGTGATTCTCTTGTGCCCCTATAGCCACATGCAATTTTTCCCAATTTGAGTCATTACCCATTTTCATACATGTGCACCTCAAAGTAGTACTTTTAAGTACTGTAGCTGTTCTGTTTGGGTGTTAATGAACTTCAGTCAAGAAAGATTTAGGGGTGATTGTGGATATTAAGCCATTTCTAGAGGATCACATTAAGGGAACAACCAGAGGAGCCTACGCTATGTTCGTGTTCTTTCCCCCTTGCTTCCAGCTCCAAAACGTCTGAGGGTTTTGGAGTCGGGGCAGTGTCTAGTTGGTGTTGAGACTCGGGCGTCTCGGGAGTCCCCTTTCGGGTTGCCGGCGGAGGCATTCAAGCCTGATCCTCCAGCCGGAGCTAATTGTAGACCTGCCTTAAAATACATGGATGGAGCAATGCTTAATGTCATGACACATGTGAGACCCAAGTTAGAAATAAAACATTTGTTTGGTATCCATACTTGAAGAGATTAAATAGACATCTTGGCATCTTACTAAATGCCTAAATGGGGAAGGTTGGAAAATGCAAAATATGCCAAAACTGGTAGACAGAAGGCGATATGATCACCACGTACAAAATCGTAAGAATCACGATTCGTGTAGGCCTGGAGGGGGTGGGGCACGTGTAGGCTGAGAGTATAAAATTATATCATGAGTTGGTTAACCTCTCATTTAGGTGAATTACATACTAATTACAACTAATCAGCACTACCTCGTATGCATATAAAGTAGCACTGTACTTGTGCTGATCAAGATTACAAAATGCACCAAAAGAAAATATTTAATTGTATGACAAGATAATTGGATTTGGTAATAGAAAAACTTTTAACTGAACTTGTCTGCAGGTATAAAGTTATGTTATAGACCATGCCAAAAGAGCAGACCTTAGACTTGCAAACAAGGCACAACTGACATGGTCACCAAAACAAAACAAGAGAAGGAAGGATTGATAGATTGTCTTTCTAGGCTATTATGAAGCTTTCATTACAGTTCCACAAAAGTCAAATAATTTTGGCATTTTTTTTAGCATCTTTAATAATAAAATATATGTACATGCACCAGACCATGTAACTAGCTATTATGAGTGCGCATGCAAGGGCGGATGCCTATCTGATCTTGGTGTATGGGTCGTCAGCCACCACAGACAAGCGTACGAGATCCTTGGTTTTGGAGGCTGCCGAGAGGATAGAGTAGGCATACCAAGGTGCCCAACAAGTGCTGTAACCGTCACTCATTTTTTCAATTTAATTTGTATCTTATTTTTCAGTGTGCAGAGTTGGGAGATATTTGAAGCATGTGAGTTAATGAAACTAGTGTTCAGTACTCGGATACAAAGGTAATAATAAAAACATTATTTCAGCAAGCTAACACCAGTAAGCAGAAGAGAGATGGCGACCAAGTTCTGGAAGTTGGAGAATTTGTTAACTTCTATCATGCACTACTGAAAATGCCAGAAATTGAAAAGTTGTTCAAAAAGTAAGTATGACTTCAGTTGACAACAAATTAGCAAGAATGTGTTGAAGTTTGGAAGCCATAAGATGAAGTCAAATCTGTGTATCACATGACTTGATAATGATTCAGGATGGACCAAAACCTCATTGTGCCTCCATCTTCTGAATTGTAGTTTGGTCATCATGGAAATAGTTATACAGTATATAATATTGTGTACATTGTATTTACATGAATATAACATGAATACCAATGTTCTATGATCTCAAAAATAGTATTGACATTCCAGTGTTATTGCACTTGAAAAAATGATAAAAACATTAATAAAATCATATACAGTACATTATATGCAATGCATATACTTGCAACTTTGTACAAAATGAGGCTATACTGAATGTGGATCAATGGTTACAAGATTCACTGGAACTGCTTAGTGGTTCCTTCTATAAAACCTGTGGAAAATGTCAGCGGTACTAAAATAGGTATACAGTACTGTAAATATTTAACCTTTCTGTGATCAGGGAATGCATTTTAACAATAAAAAGAATGTTATTTTGTTAAAAAAAATTCTTTTGCACCTCAGAGTTGTCATACGAGAGGTGCACAGTGCAGGGATTAACTCCCATATTAACGTTTTTTTGTTTATACTACTGTATTCATTCATCGTACACCTCTTCTCCCACTCTCCTTATTTATCCTTCCATACTCACATTTTTGGCCTGCACAACTATTTGGGATGGATGGTAGTGATAGTCTTGCTTCAAGCAGGTCTATGTTCAATCCCTGACTGTTCAAGTGGTTGGGTGCACTATTCCTTCCCTCCATCTCTTTTCAAATCCTTATCTTGATCCTTTCCAAGTGCTAATTGTAATGTATTGGTGCTCTTCTTGATAGTTTTCCTTCCCTCCAAATTTTAGCCAATGCTACCCTCCCCAAATGTTTTAAACATTTTACCTCTTCCCGTTTCCTTTCCTTCATTTTTATCTTCGATGTAGTTTACATGGCTTAATTTTTTATTTGTTACTCAAATTTTTTGTTATTTGACAGACATGCAAGTGAGAAAACTCAGCTAATGAGTGCAGACCAGCTGTGTGCCTTCCTCCATAAAGAACAGGGTCTCATTGACTTGGATGAGAGCCAAGCAACCAAGCTCATTCATGAATTTGAAATCAGTGACCTTAAAGACCAAGGATATATGACGCAAGATGGTAAGTCTCTACTTCAGTCACTATCCTCCTGGAAACTATTTTTTTTTTTTTAAATGTGTGGCCAAATAATAATAATAATAATTTGTTTATTTAAAAAATAATACAGGACACAGTATAGTGATTGAATAGATGTTGCATAAAAGGCATGTTTAATAAAGTTATTAGTACACAAAGCATTTTGGCAAAATTTTCGGTGTCCCAAATATTTACAAAATGTGTTCAGGTGTTGTAGCAGCCAAGTGGTTTGTACCATTAGAAGTTTTAACTTTTTTTTCTCTAATTACATGTCTGAAACACAAATGTTGTAACAATTCAGAAGATATAACAATTGTTATAACATTGAAATACTGTACATCTTTCTTATTTCATTGGGATATTTCAGAGTGGACACAAAGCTTAGTCATTTTTGCCTTATGCGGTGGACAAGTATTTATGACTTGTATGTTGGCTTCACTAAGATTGTCCAATGGGTTCATGAACCACCTCTGTGCTGTTAAATTTTGGTTGATATCCTGTTTGGCTTGTATCTGCACTGTTATTGTTCCAGTGGTCTTTCAGGCATTTCACCAGAATGATGACATTCATGGGCTTACACGACAAGTCAATATTATATTTAGAAATATTACACTTGTGTTAAAGCAGCCCATTGTCTTGTCACAGTGAACTGAAAAGGTACTAAATTGTCAGAATCTATCTTAACCAAAAGACCCACGCATAGAAAATGTGAATGGTAGCCGCTATGTTTTGTCCATTAGGGATTGTGACTTCAAAATGTAAGGTATTATTTAAGAAGACAGGTTGGTTGAAGAATATCTTTAAGCCTCTGTGTGTAAAGACTTATATGATGGGTTGGCTCATGCAAAAGTGCAGCCGTTGCCATATTTTGCACTGGGAAATGATAAATATACCTTTTATATGTAATTTAATCTTTCTAATGGCATTTTGGATTTGATGATAAACAAAAATTCTTGAAGATAAGTTTTAAAACAATGCAAGACGGTGTTCTATCCTCTGGCTAATATGGTACTTGCACTGTTTTCAGAGCACTCTTGATATCGTTAATCAAACATATGCTCGTGCAAGTTTTGGGCATCTAATTCATATCATGCTAAACAAACGTGAACTAATGAAATGTATTCAGTTGACACTTTCTTTTTCAGGCTTCTACCATATGCTCCTCTCGGATATGTTTGATATATTCAACCACGAACACAAGAGCAAAGTTCATCAAGACATGACCCAGCCACTTGCACATTACTACATCTCTTCTTCCCATAATACGTAAGCATAGCAACCAGTGTTGGTGTCGAGTGCAGGAAATTTTCTCAACGGGGTTAAAACATGCAGTTTTATTTTGTGTTATGGAAGTCACAATTGTTTTACAGTAGAAATTAATCCTTATCATTAAACATCAACACACGTAAACAGTAAGGGTGAATTAAGTAAATTATTGTATTGTAGCCTTTTCTTGCCCAGTTATGAGCATGTGGTTACAATCACAACAAGCCAGCTTTTGGCTCAATCACTGCATTTTGGAAAGCTTAAAACAATATTGTTGAAATCCTGCTCGTATTGAATTAGAAATGTATAGCATTAATAATTTTTAATTTGATTGTTTAAAAAGGATTTTTTGTTAGTAAGCTTTTTATGCAATAGGTACCTGACTGGTCACCAACTTGCTGGAGAAAGTAGCGTTGAGGGCTACATAAGTGCACTTAAACGAGGATGTCGGCTTCTGGAATGTGAGTACAGTGCTGTTATCCCCAACACGTTTGCTCTTCAACCCTTAAAATGCATACTATCCTCATACGTTCAACCTATGGTGTACATACCTTCCTGAGGTGTTTCAAGTACTGTACTCAACCACTTGAACTGATCAGTACAGTGAAAGCCTTGCTTCTTGCAGGTCAGTGTTCGATCCCCCAGTGGTCCGAGTGGTTGGGCACCATTCCTTCCCGCTGTCTAATCCCAGATTAGATTACACACACTAACCCAAAAATTCTTTGGGTTAGTGTGTGTTCCCAAATGGTTTTTCAGGCCTCCAGTAGACACGTCATCTTGTTCTGAAAACAAATTTTATGCGCATTCAGATAATGCTTTGTATAACTCTTGTACAGCCCAGGGATTGAAATGGAAGAATGAGCAGTCTGCAGAAAAAAGTTTACAAAGAAGAGTTTACTGTTTTCAAAAGAGCTTAGAAAAAAATCTGTGCTGTTTTGATGTTGGCAGTGACACACACTTGTAAGCTTTCCATGTTGTTTACAGTGTAATTGCTACCGACACTGCAGTGTGTTTCACATTCATTCATTGTTTGTTTTTTTATCGAACAAGTTTCATTATTTATGTAGCATATTAATCATTACATATCCTTAATACCTGGCATTTTTCCCTACCATCAATAAATTTGAAGGGCAACCTGAACCCATTTGTTAGACCACGCTGTAGTGTGGCCGTCACTCGGGCAGTCACCACTTCTTGTAATAACAAGAATGTGTGGCAAGACCTTAGGATTGTTTCAAAAAGTATGTAATAAAAGTATAATAATTGTATAAAAATTAATAAGTATAGTGAATAGAGTTGAAGGAAAATCCCCAATGATTAAAGCTTGAGAGGACAGTTAAAGTGAAGCGAAGGTGGCTTCGACAAAACTGTAATTAAATTTGCTTACAAATTTTAATAGTGAAACTAAAGACCTGCTATAGGGAAGAATAGGCAAAAGTTCAGGGGACTTTTTATCCATTGTGACCTACTGTCAGTTTCATAATGGGGGGTGTAGTTTTGATCGATATAAACTGTGAAAGTTGATTACAATTTTTCTCCTGCTTGTTGTTTCATGTTTTTTAAATACTGTACTATACTGTATAATCATTTTCTTGCAGCTGTTAAGACATCACCCTCCCCTGGTACAAAAATTTGATTATGAAGTGGTAGACAATTGGGATAATTTGATAGATAAATAAAAATCCTTGACAGTGCCGATGAGCCAGTTTATTAATGTGAAGCACTTTATTAACATACTATGACATGCATAATTTTATATTCATAAATCTTCGGTACCCTCCATTTAGAATAAAATGTTATATTCTGTACTGCAAGTCAAATTCCTTTGAGTACTGTAACAAGAATTCCTTTTTGTAGTGCTTTCTGAAGAAACTCATGTATAACTTTTATGAAATCTTTAATGGTGAGGCTTATTTCCTGGCCGAGGTTTACATTTTTTTTTTACTTAGACCCTGAATTATTTCTAATCTGAATTATATCCTTCTTGTGTGTAGTATTTATCAAATACTTTTTCATACAGTGGATTTGTGGGATGGAGACGAAGGAGAGCCAATAATCTACCATGGTCATACCTTGACCACTAAAATAACTCTTGCTGATGTTCTGAGAGATGGTATCAAGGCCTATGCTTTCGAGGCCTCGCCTTACCCAGTCATTCTCTCTATTGAGAATCATTTAAGTGTGGAACAGCAGAAAGTCATGGTGCAACTGCTGAAGGATATCCTTGGAGGTAGGCTTGCTGCATGTTGTATGTGGTTTAAAAAGCTAATTTTACATTTAATACAAATTATTTTATCCAATTAAAACAATTCGGTTGGTATTACGTCTCATTGAAGAAAAATTTTTGATTACATTCAAACTTATTACTTGCTCAAGCTTTTTTTTTAAAGTATTGTTTGTTTTCCAAATGTCAGATATGCTTGCAACTGATCCAGTGTCAGAAGACATTACAGCTGTCCCCTCTCCAGAGGCGCTAAAAAACAAAATAATCATCAGGGGCAAAAAACCTCAAGGTAAGATTTATTGTTGAGCTTTGTTGACATAATATAGCATGCTTGAAGTGTGCTGTTGATGAGAATTTAAATTCCATTCGGATAGGTATACAAATGTTCTTTTCATAGCAAACTATTCAGTAACAAGTTGGATAATTTTAGTAATGTAAGTACTGTATGTTATGTATTAGTTTAAATTGTCTTGTATGTTAAGAATATAATTTTTTTTAATTATGGGTGAAAGCAATATGTTAAAAGGTGATGATTATTAGCTTCTACAGTATATAACTCATGAGCAAGATGAGGTAAAGATATTCATATGTAGGGTTCCCTTGAGACTGCCTTGAGGGGGGGTTCTGAGGTTCAATGTCACTGGCACAATGTCTTGCCAGGCATCGTGGTTAGTGGTTTGGTCAACCAGGCTGTTGTATGCTGCTGGTTGCAGTATGATACGAGTTGTTGCCTGTTGATCAGGTATTTTCTGAGGGTGTTCGTCAAGTACTTTTGAACAGTGTGAGAGGTTGGCTGAGTGGGATGCTTCTGTCAAGGATTTATTGCTGTGTTTGGTTTGATTTTCCATAGTGTATGGAAAGGTATGGCTGTTAGATGTCATTTGTCAACATTTTATCTCGAGCTTTCACCTTTACTGCTCCCCAATTTTCTCTAGGCTGCTGCTGGGCAGTAACATTGTATTTAACTCTTGTTTACGTGATGTGAAGTGTGTGTGACGTGCTGCATTGTTACGTACTGTAATTGATGGCATTCAGTGTAAGACACCTATTCTACAATGTTATACAGTATTATGAATTTTTTTAGTAAGTTTCGTTATACATATATTGAGTGATTTTCATGTTTAGTAGGGGAATTTTTTTTTTTTTTTTTGCATGTAACAAAAGGTGGACAAAGTGTCCTATGTATTTATGTATATATATATATGCAAGAATAATCACAAAATACACATGATTTGGTTAGTCATAAGTATCCACTGGGAAAATGAAACCAAAATTAAAAATATTTTTGTTTCGTAAAAATATTTAATTGCATTTACTAAAATGCTTCGTGATTGTGGTTTGATGCTTATTCTTGAACCCAACTACACTTGTAAAATTATCTGGTTAATAATCATCTCGAAGCTGTAATGTTTTGTAATACATGTGGACATAGATCTGCAACTGATGCACGTGTATTGAAACCTGTAGAAATATCTGATAATTTGTCCGTACGGTAAAAATAATTTTGAATGTTGTAAACTAGGGTCTGAAGTGGAGTCGGATGATGACGATGATGACCAGGATGCCATTGATTATATTGATAGTGATGATGGTGCTGCACAAACTAAAAAGGTAAGATTCCCTGAATTTCCTCCGACTTAATTTGTTTAATTGTGATGGTTGAAATAATACTTGAATATGGTATGATTGTACCTTGTTCTTTCTCTTGGGAGACATTCAAATTAATGAAGTTTGTGTTTAATATCCCTGAAGGCAAACTAAATAGTTTAGATACGTGGAAGTTAATGGTTAGCAAGATTCAATAACGCATTGCTATTTGTTTAATATCCTTGAAGGCAAACTAAGTACAGTTTAGACACTGTTAATTGCAAGATTAATTACTGTATGTGCTATGATTGAAGTACCTTAAGAAATGTACTGTTGTATGCATACATAAACCTGCAATACATTACCTGTTTCTCTAGCTGGCATGCTACTATTATAAGGTATACTGTATACTACTACATACTAAGTACACACTGTATTTGGAGAATGTTAGTGGAGATGCTTTGTAGAGTTTTATGCACTGTGTAGTACTTTGTGTATTTTGATGATTCTTCACTATTCTTTTCTGGGTGTCAAGAACTTTGTCATACTACTTTGAGAAAAATTAAAAGAATTCGACAATTATTTTCAAGTTTACTGCTTTGAAAACTCCTTTATGAGCAAATTAGATGACTTACCTCCCGACTTCAAGTTACTGCAGTACTCCTCATTCACCATGTAAATGCCTTTTTCTTATCACTTGACTAGGATCTCTTCACTCCTCACCTTAAGACATTCTACCGCTCTTTTAAGAGGGCTAGGCAAAACTCCAAAAAGAGGCGCAGTGTATCGCATCAAGCAGAGCAGGTAGTATGACGATGTGACTACCCCCTGTAGTGCCATGTATGATTTTCACCTGACAGTGCTTGCATGGAACATATCCATGGTTTAATATTTTAATATAATTTTTTTCGTCTAGCAATTTTATAATAAAAATTTGCTGGAACTTTTAACATAGTTGAGGGTTAGCTCTAGATATTTGTTTATAACAGGAGTTAAGGTTCCCCCCTTTTCATTAAAACTAGCAATTCAAACTAAAAATAAAATCATAAACCCAGTAATTATGAAATCTTTAGAGTTTCTTGCCCAAGAAATTATTTAATATAATGATTTTTGATGTGGCCTCGGTTATTAAAAGCAGACGTTTTTCCCGAATTATTTCTATACTGTCGGCATTGGTTATATATAATTCATTTAATCAGGGACAGAATGCCCGAGTGTAAAAATACACTTTAGTAGGCTTATATCGAGGCCCTTCCAAGGTCGAAATACTGACCCTCCCCAGGATGCAACATCTCGATAGATGTCTAAACTCCTAGGTTACTTCTTCTAGGTGAACAGATGCATTAGGTGAAAGGAAACTTGCTCGACCTTTCTTGTCCCTCCTGGGTGTCAAACCCTGGATCCAAGATTGCAATATGATAACTTAGCCAAATGTACTACGAGACCCATTAATTGTCTGTGACTACTGTACTTGAAACTCTTGGGTGATATCAACGACACTGGGATAGTATTCACAGGAAGTAAGGTGGAAGGATGCTGGGAGGGCCCCCCCCCCCCCAAAAAAAAATAAAGTTGTGGTCATGTATGTTGGATGACTTGACTAGGATGTATGTTAAATGACTTGACTTAATTTCTAATTTTGGTTTTGACATTAACCTATTAATAAATGTCATAAATGTGTAAAATTAACCCAAATTTGTTGGGTTAATTTTTTTTTAAGCTGCAGGTATGTAATTAATTACAAATAAAATGAGACCTTTTATCTGAAGAATGATATTTACACTGAGAAACAGAGGCTTAATCTGAAACAAGTCAAAACATTGATGCCATTCTGACCGACTTCCTCAATTGGTAACTGGACATGGGCAAATTCTTGTCTATCCTCATATCTGGAGTATTTAGGTGAAGTGTATCTCCACTTGTATGAGTGATGGTGTTTTCTTGCCCTCTGCTAGAATTTTACCAGCTTTGTGGTCACATTGAAATAAGTTTAGAGATATACAAATACAGTACAATATATACAAAGGGATGAGATTGCTTAAGCAATTCTAACCCCATTCAAAAGAATGTGTTCATGTACCTTTTCATGAATCACGAACAGTCTACATTTTACTGAACATTCCGATTGATAAAAACCTTTCTTCTGGTGCATAGGCTATATTATATCAAACATACACACAAATACATGCAATTATTATTAATTAGTTATATGTTTGTAATTATTTATAAGAGGTTACAAATAGACTTTCAGACAAATTGGCAAAAGTTTTCAATCTTGGTGTATAATTCTTGTATCTACAAAAATATCATCAATCTTTCCATTGTGACATATCCAGGCTATTTGTTCAGGAACAGTCTCTCATTACAGGGGTACCTCGGTTTAAGAGTTTAATCCGTTCCAGGAGACAGCTCGTAATCCGAAAACTCGTAAACCCAAGCTAATTTCCCCATAAGAAATAATGGGAAATGAATTAATCCGTACCTGACTACCCAAAAAACTCACTTCAAACTAAATTTTATACCTAATTCATTTAAATCTACACTACAAAAGTATGTTCAAGTTATTACTTACCCTTGCTGATGACTGCTGTTGGCGTATGGAAGATGGTGAGGAGGAGAGGTGTTACTGTTTGGAACGGGAGTCCCCTTCCGTTATAACATCAGGCAGTGAGGACTTCACTGGTGTGCACTGTCTGGCACGTTTTGCCAGCATACCACTAAAGACTTGCTTGTCTTGCTGAGAATCTGTCTAAAGACACTTGTTTTTCCCTACATTTCCCTACATTTTAACTTGTCTGTAGTAAAACATCACATTGTCATTTAAAAGGTCAATGCAACAGCCTGCTACAGCTTTATCTGGGTGAGTTTTTTCAACAAAACTTTGCAGTTCTTCCCTTACTTCACACATTTTCTTAATGAATAAGGGACATCCTCTACTGCCTCTACTCACAATTATTTTCTTAGGTTGAACCTTACCACAGGCTTTCTTGGGACCCATGGCGAGATATATAATAACAACTTTTATGCTCAAATGGCCAAAAATCCGACATAAAACTGTAAATCCTTGTGAAGAATTCAGGCGGGATAGTCACTGCGCGCGAGGCACTGGTAAACTGAGGCATGATCGCCGTGCCACCACGCGCTAGTCGGCCTGTACGCGTGTCAACACCCTCGTCTTCCAAGGCAACGCTCGTATTCCGATGTAAATTTTTCGAGCAAATCCTGCTCGTATTCCGAAAAAATCGTATACAGGGACACTCGTATTCCGAGGTACCGCTGTATTTCTATATAGTACACTAAAAACAGATAATCAGTAACACGATTGATACGAGGCTCTAACATACCTGTTCCATGTTCCTGTAATATTTGTACCCAAGCCTGAGCTGCACGTGTAGTCACGGTAAACATTTTTCCTTTCTCTGTAGGTGAAATCGGTATTCTGACTTGTATGTATGTAGTATTTCCTGATTTAATGTCTTGTATATATTACACATCTTCTTGCCACTTCTGCCTACTCCTGCTTAGTTCTTATTGTGCTTTGATTCACAGTTAAAATGCATTCGGTATCAACTTGTGGTACATTTGGCAAGCTCATCAGCCACCTCGTTGACCATTGTTCCAACATGAGATGAAATTCACATGAATTTCAGTCTCTTTAGCTTGCCTTTTTCTTACACACCTCAACTATGAACATGAAAATTACAGTTTGACTATTTAATGAGTCTAGTGCTCTTCAGCTATCAACAAATATGAAAGCTGTTTTACCTCGGGCTATTTCATCCAAACCAGCCAGAATGGCCTGCAATTAGTTCTGTGAATGAAGTGCAATTACGAAGTCGAAGTTTAATTTTCCCTGTCCACGGGTCCAGTTGTGTATTACCTTATTAGGACATCACACCCTGCCCTGCCATCTTCTGCCACTGACCCGTCACAATATACATGCACATTTCTCTTGGTAACTAAAATATCTTTGCTCCATACAAACACCATAATTGTCCCAGATCATGCAGAGGCTTCATCTGGAGGGGCTGAGTTTTGACTTCCACTTTCTGTGCCTTCCACGGAGTTTTACTGCACGAACTAATGTGTGCTGCATTCAAATACTGTACATTGTATTTCCCAAGGTTATTGTGGCAATTGTGTGCTCTTTGGATTATCTAATGCCCTCTTATGCCAAGCACAGTTTCCTCATTGTTCAAACTTTGTAGTGGTGGTAAACTTGTCCCCTTCCCCCCTCTTCCTCCCCCCCCCCTTTGCCCCCTGCACTCCCTTCCCCACCTGCCCCCCATAAGACCTCCCCCCCCCATTTCTGCCCCTCCCTTAAGTACAGGCAATTCATAATAATGTAACGTACCTTTGCTTGTATCCCTGACTGCATCAACATGTTTTATCTACTAACTTGATCCCATGGGTAAATTTTTTCACTTTGCACAAGACAAAATTTGCCCTTGTACGGTAGCTACCGTCAAAATTGTCACTCTGCCTGTATAACCAAAAAGTGAGAGGCATTTAATTAAAGGTAATAAAGTAAAGGAAATGCAAACAAAATCAAATGTAAGTTTTTTCTGGTTGTGTGCATGGTAGGAGAGAGCCAGGTGGGGAAGTCCTAGTGTCCATCAACACAAGATGCGCAGTTTACTGGCTCTTCCTGTAGGGGTGAGGAGTCTCATGTTCAGTTGTATGAGTTTTTCATTTGTGGCTTCATTTATTAGTTTACATAGTGTATTTTTGGTTTAACTCTATTTACAAATGTGTGTGAACCTGTTCTTGGCACGGCTCTAAAGTGCCTTGCAAGACCAAATTGTGATTTGACGATAATCGCGGGTCACTAGTATGCAATGGTGCATCACTACAGGTTGCTAATATGCGATGGCGCCTCACTGCAGGTCACAAGTATGCGATGGCACCTCTCTGCGGGTCACTAATACGTAATGGTGCCTCACTGTGGGTCACTAGTACGCGATGGTGCCTCACTGTGGGTTAGTAGTATGTGATGGCGCTTCACTGTGGGTCACTAGTACACGATGGTGCCTCACTGCAGGTCACTAATACGCGATGGCCATTTAAGATAGCATAATTTTTTAATGGGTCATGTTAAATCTCTTACATCCATATGGATGGATTTTAACCATATTTATATACAGTACTGTAATTGGTATAAAAACTAATTGATAACTAAAATTGTCAAATAACTATAACCTCATTGACCCAGGGATCCAATACCATCCAACTCGACCACCTGGGCTGGATAATAGAGTAACGGTCTCGCTTCATGCAGGTCGGCGTTCATTCCCCAGCTGCCCAGTTGGCTGGAAACCATTCCTTTATCTTATTCCTTCCCAAATCTGTATCTTGATCCCTTCCAAGTGCTTTATAGTCATAATGGCTTGGTGCTTTCTCCCCAAAATTACCTTTCCTGGCCCAGTGAACAACGCAGGATTAACTGAAGTTTTAAGCGTTAAAACTCCTCGGTTTTGCTGTTATGCTGTATTATCAGGTATATTTTATTCACCACAGATGAGGCTAAGAGGGGTTGAACAGGCCTGGACTTAAGACATTCCTACCACTCAATGTTTCTGTTCATACCAGTAATAAATGATGCTGGACAGTCTGAGAAAAGTGGTGTTCCATAACAATGTGCCATAGTAGTGTGTGCACGCATGTATTTTGGCATAAACAGTAATTGTGTGAATGCATCCATTGCACATGTACATGCCTCTATGCTTGCATGTGTGCTCACCAGAATTCTTTAGATCATTAAACTGAATGCAGTATTTATATACTGCTGCTTTAGTATTTTCCCTAGTTAGTTTTTTGCTATATTTTGGGATAGTCAAAATTCCTTATTCATTGTATGGTGATCTGCATAATAGTATCTCTTGATTTATATTATTTAAATATGTAACTACTTAACACATTGATGTATGTGCCAACCAATCTTGTGACTCTAATTGCAGTCTGTTCTCTCAAATTGCTAATCTGTAAAATATGTAACTGTTGCCTAAACAGAAATAAATGAACCCAAACAACCCAAGTAACCTACTGATACAAAAGTAGAAAGCATTAATATTAGTGCTTTTTATGTACTAATACATCACATTTTTTATAGACTAATAGATTCTGTACAAAAAAAAGTGTATTAGAAGAGAGGACGGGTTGACCTGTAGTAAGTAATTCTTCTTGCATGGCCTGTATTTCAGCATGCATCAGTTGCTATCTTCATGAGATATGAAGATATGATTTTGTACATATGGTTTATTTAGGGGCATATAAAATTTATATATATGTACATATATATGTATATATATATATCTATATATGTATATATATATATATATATATATATATATATATATATATATATATATATATATATATATATATATATATATATATATATATATATATATATATTATATATACATACTGTATTCAGGTTTTAGATGAGTTGTCTTGTGTGTGATAGCTGGAGGAAGGTGCCAAACAAATAGTGTAAAGTAATTCACACTGCTTATTGCGCACTGTGAACGAGGACTGAGTAGCATTTGCCCAATGGAAATAATAAATTTTAATTCATTGGGAACTTTTCATTAAGCTTTGTGAACAAAAATACTAAAATTGTATAAATATTTCAGTCCATATTTGACAAGTAAAATGCTATATTTGGATAAAAGCTACATGCTAAAATGGTGAAAAACAACACATACATGCGGGCGCGCACGCACACACTCACTCACACTCACACTCACACTCACAAGGCTTTCAGGAGACAGCTTATTTGTACAGTAATATTCAACGTTAATCCAATTTAAAATGCTGAACAGTATTTCATAATATTAAACAGTAAGTATTTGCATTATTGAGCTCACATTCCTTTCCTCTTTACAGAAGCCACACAAGCCTCTCGCTCCAGAATTAAGAGAGATTATCAATGTATGTGAAGGGAAAAAGTTTACTACTTTCCATGATGCCTTTGAAAATTGTAAGTATTTATACTGTAGTATTAATTATATGCAGATGGTGTGGTTAAAGTTTTGCATATTACAAGAGGTGTAGAATTGTTTGCCGATAAATGAGCTTGGTGTAAGATTGTGTATACAATAAAAGATAGCTGGCACTTTCATCCCACAGCCTATTAATAAGGGAATGAAAATTGTACAGGATTTAATTCTCATTAAGTTTGGAGTTTGGCAGCAGGTTTTGATTTCATGAAAGTGCAGTTTCAAGTTGGTTATTGCCAGGTAAACTTCCACTTCCCACAACCCCAGGTTGTGTGAAGTGGAAGTTTATTACTTCCCGTATTAGTGAATGAAAACTGGGGAATGTTTTCGTACTCATATTAGTAAATGAAAACTGGGGAATCTCGATTAAAAGGAACCATAAAATTTGGTTTTAAATGTTGAATGGCTTTCCTATGGCCCTTTACTATTTCTTTTAATGTTGTGCCCATCTGCAAAAATCATTAAAAATGTGATTGGAAGCATATGAAGTTACCATTTACTGAGCAAAAAAATTCCAAAATGCAAACACACTAAAATCCCATATGCCAAACAAAAGAAATAAAAAATGCCCAGTCGGAGATTCACCGAATCGAGGTTCCACTGTATCAGTACCCTGTATCATGATTTACACTTGATAAATTTTAATTTCAAACTATCGAGGTAGCACAGTGCTTAAGTAATGAAAACATACAAAATACTACGCCTCAAATGTTGTGTTCTACCATTATTCTTGAATATTTTGACTAATCACGTATTTAGTTCATCCACTTAAAATACTTTAAATTTATTGGCTATAAGCATTCGTGGTTAACATAAATTTTCTTCTCTGTCAAATATTTATGCGCTACTCTCAAAAGCTTCTCTTTCCATTATTTTTCTCAAACTTATCTTTGCAGATAAATGTGTTCACACTCCATCGCTAGGAGAGACGAAAGCAAAAGGATTAATTGAAAGCAGTCCAGATGACTTCATTAGGTTCACTGAGAGGCACGTTACCAAGGTGTACCCCCTTGGTACCCGGACAGACTCTTCTAATCTGAAGCCGTACCCCTTCTGGAGTGTAGGATGTCAGATAGGTTTGTATTTATGGCGACATGTTATCAAGAATGAAGATTAAATTTATTGGTTGTTTATTTTTGTTGAGCCTCATAGCAGGGAATGGAAAGGTTGCTGTGTTCAGCCCCCCACCTTTGCAGAAATTTGTTTTGTACTTCTAGATTAAATCGTATGTAGGTTCTCAATGTGATCCACTTGCTCCTTTCAAGTAGGCCCTGGAAAAGTTTACTTAATCATGAAGAGGAGATTGAAGTGATCAATTTATAAGTCAAAGCTGTAACATTGAAATATAAACGCCTCATTAACTACTATTCAACATGTTTGTTACCCCCAGGGGAAACATGAGTGAATATATAGTTATATGGGATGGGATTCCAAATTGTTGTTGTTCTAATATTGTACTTGTGTTTATGGTTTCTTTCATTAACCCTTCATTGCTTAAATAATTAAATTTAACATGCCCAGGTGCACAAAAATATATTGGGTGTATATTGGTATATATTACAGAAAAATGGAAAACATCAAACAGTATTGGTAAATGTTACTGTCGTTTATACTCTTGCCGCACCAAACATTTGCTAAAGAAACAAGTACTGTATTTTAAGTCTTAAATTTTATACTACACAAGTAATTACCAGAAGGTGGCAACGAGCCCGGGAGACTGTTGCATTTTTATATATTACGTAGTTCACCAAGCTAAAGCTATGAAATGGTTGTGGAAGTTGCTTATCTTTTCTTATAGGGGGCTTGTGAATTATTTGCTGATGGATAGATGATTAGTTTTGTGGGGAAAGTGGGGGTATTAAATTTTATATAAAGAAAAAGTAGTGTAAGGGTAAAGCTTATTTTATAGTTTCACTCACTTGTGAATTTTTTGTTATCAGTGGCGCTGAATATGCAGACAGAAGACAAGGCCAACTTCTATGGTGATGCTCTCTTTACCACCAATGCAAATTGTGGCTATGTTCTCAAGCCAGATATTATCCTTAAAAAGGTACCCTATGATCCGACAGACCTCTCAGACAGGTATGTGTATTTTTTCATTAAAAATGAAATGAATTTTTTTTTAACTGTACATTAATTTATTCTTGCTACTAAGTCTCTTCCTCTTAGAATATGGATGATTGTTTTTAGAATGTCAATTTACTCCATGATTGTTTAAAACTTTGTTCTATTGTATACTATATAGGAAGACGAGTTATTTTTGCATTACAGTACTGATATTGTAGAAGGAATAATTATTTAATTTTCATCACAATTTTTAGCAAAGATACATTTCCAGATACACCAAAATTGTTCGTGTGACGGTGTTGAGTGGCCAGCATCTACCAAATTCGGCCAAAAAGGGTGACATTGTTGATCCTTATGTACAAGTAAAAGTTCGAGGTCACCCGCTTGACAAACAGAAACAGCGTACTAAAGTTATTAAAAACAATGGTAAGAATAGTTTGATGAAGTGTTAGTTGACCATATTTTAAGTGGTACTATTGCTATGTATTAAGGGGAGTTCATGAATGTATATACTGTATCTACAGTTTCATAACAAATATAATAAAGGGAAGCCTGCTAGTTATTTCTGTAGGACCTTAAGCATGGTGAATTTGGCTAAAATTCGTTAAGTGTTGGAGATTTATTGGTTAGGTATTTATATTCTTAAAGTATGTACATGTTGCAGAAATCACTAACTAGGAGAAATATAAGTTAGTAATTGTTTAAACAATAGGTTCTGTATTGAATAAAGGTTCTCATTGAACTTATTTTTCAGGTTTCAATCCAGTTTGGAATGAGGCATTAGAGCTGTCCATCAAGGTACCACAAGTATCATTAATATATTTTTCATTGAGAGATGAGAGCTCTTTGTCGCGTGATCCTGTACTTGGCCTTTGTTGCATTCCTTTTAATTCACTTTCATCAGGTAAGTGCACCAACTTGTTTATTAATGTACTTTCTCCTTTTCACACTGGTACATTAGGTGAACAATTTGTAGTTAAATACAGTAAAGAATGACGATAGACGAGATGTTTTAAAGTAAGGTAGACATATTGAGGGTGTTCCTAGAAGACAATGGAAAAAATGCCTAAAGTTTTAGACAACTTGAGTGGTTAGGTTGCATCTTTTCATCAGGAAATTAGTCTCGATGGAATTTATAAAGGATGTTTGTGTTAGCAGATTTGTTTGAAAAGGACTTGAACCTCCATGTAAATGTTATTACCACATTGGGGGATGGCTTTGGAAGGGTGACAGTCTGAATATATTAGAATGGAGACCATCTACCAAAACAATAACTTCCACACTGTAAACACTATATCAAGTTGCTTATACAAGTGTACCCTTGCATTCTCTTTTGGTGCTTAAGTCAAATTACATAGCTGTGTACTTGCATATTATGAGTTCATATGTCAAATGACTGTACCATGAAATTTTTCCAAAAGTAATGGAGATTGTTTTATCATAAATTAAAGTAACCGAATATTTAATGCCTCTGAATATATATTTTATTATTCTTTTGTATTAGTATTCAAAGGATACATCACATGTTCAAAAAAATAAATTACAAAATAAATTGTTAGTAAGGTTAGGTCAAATTGAAGCTCATTTACCTTAATTTCAGATCTTTATACTACTATAACCTGTCAACATTGAGAAGTTTGTCAAGCACTTTTACACTGTAAGTAATTGATGTACATTTTCAGGTTACCGGTTTGTCCACTTCACTGACCTGGCAGGGAAGTCTCTGGGTCCTGCTGCTCTATTTGTTCATATAGAAGTTCGTGATAAGTGAAGTGAAAGCCGACCAGACATATGAAGCAAATAAGTTGAGAAATAATGTGTTCCAAGAGAGGGCTTTCTATGTTTTAGACTGAACAGTGCTGCTAGCAATAGGGATATTATGAAGTAACCCTGTGATTTATCCTGTATAATTTAAAATTTGTTTTCCTCTTGTTTTGTCTTCTATGTACAATATCCAGCTGATTTATTTAATAAATGTTGTTAATTTTATATTCACAAGCTTCTTGCACATTGGTAGGAAGATCCTTGTCCAGATATGTTAGGCTTGGTAAAAACTTGTATTTTGATAAAAAATTAACCACTTATGTTATATGTAATGCAATGGTGAATAAAGAAACACATTAAATATACTAGTAATATGCAGTGATTGCCATGGTAAAGTTTGCAAAATAGAGCAGAGATTATGATACAACTGGATAGTCATCAGTCAACCCAGTGATACCATAGTCTCTTGTACAGACACAGGATAACCCAGCAGACTAATGCATTTCAACCTCACATAACTCTGGTGTTTGTGTAATATTGTAAATAACTGTCATCATTACAGTACCAGAATCTGTGATGACTATGTTGCCTTTTATTGTTTACTTCAACTAAATTGTCAGAGGCGATTTGTGGCGTATATTTTGTAGTTAAAAGGAACGTTGAACTTGAGGAGTGAAAGCATCAAAAGCCATGGATTTCAAAGGATCCATGAAATTATCCTTTCATGGGAATTGGAATGGCAAATTGACTAGGAAACCATATAAAACAAGTGAATTTTGGTTCGAATAAATGAATATAGGATTAAAATTCACACTTGATTGTCCGGCATATCAATTCCAGTAGGGTTGTTCATATTGGGGGGGAGGGGAATTCATAAGTGGGTGTGGTAAGGATGGTCAAATCTCGTGGCACTGTTTTCTTTGAATGAAAGTATTTTCATTTACTAGACATTGTTTAATTTAGTTTAAAACTTGTTTCCAGTAGTGCAAATAAAGATTTAACTATGAACAAAATGAATTGATATTTTTTGTGCACCTTTTGATGTGTATATTTGTATATAAATATATGTGCATTCATACATGTATGAATGTGTGCACACTGCTACTGTTGCACATTCACACACTTGTGTACTCTCGCATCCACATGCACGCATGTGTACGTAATCTTGCATGCACTTGCTATACACAGACATTCACCATACTTGTGTAATTGCACATACAAACTAATATATATATTCCATAAAGCATCTGTTATTAGGTATTCATGAAATTAAGGCAGTTATCAGACTTATAGCTTGAAATGTTAATATTTAACGAATGTATTTTGTACAAGTTTGTTGCAATTATTTACTATTAATATTTTTAAATTTTTCCCTAATCTGTGAATGGAATTAAGGTTTTACTGAAATATTTGAATCAACTGGTGCTTCATGTTACTACAAGTTTCTTTACAAATTAAAATGTACATTTTTTTCATTGCTTCTCGGATATAAATTTAATAACGGGTCATTTTCATGTTCATAACAGCTGGTTTTTCAGTACTTTAAAGTCTGATCCCTTAAAGTATGTGCCTGTGTAGAATATGGTTCATTAATATGTACAATATAATACATGGTTAGTAAGTGCCCTAGAGCACTCTTAACTGTATCACAATTCAGACACAGTACTTGTTAATACAATACAGGGAAGATTTTATTGGCTGAACTGTCATATAACTGTAGATTGAGGAGCCACATCTCTACACACTCATCTCTGACCAGACAACCTAGTTGGTGGTCTGGTCAACCAGGCTGTTCAACACGGCTGCTCGCAGCTTGATGTATGAGTCAGCCTGGTTGATCAGCTATCCTTTAAAGGTGTTTATCATGTATGCAAATTTTTCTCTCGTGGAGTTAAATGAGGCTAGAATTTTATCAGAATGAAGGAACCATATAAGACCCATAAGAGATGACTTCTATTTATACCCACCCAAAATTTGCAAAAGTAGATTAACGTTTTTGACTTGCAGTTTATTTTGGCAGAGTAAAATAAATTTCAATTGCCAAATTCTTCCTTGATCAAAAAGTGATAAATTTAATTAGGGTGTAGACAAGTACTTCCAACAATTTAATTTCTTAAGAACAGGAATAAAGGAAACTGGAGAAGGCCTATTGACCCATATAAGGCAGCTCCTATTTATATCCACCCATATATATATATATATAATATATATATATATATATATATATATATATATATATATATATATATTATATATTATATATATATATATATAATGTCGTACCTAATAGCCAGAACGCACTTCTCAGCCTACTATTCAAGGCCCGATTTGCCTAATAAGCCATGTTTTCATGAATTAATGTTTTTTCGTCTACCTAACCTACCTAACCTAACCTAACCTAGCTTTTTTTGGCTACCTAACCTAACCTTACCTATAAATATAGGTTAGGTAGGGTTGGTTAGGTTCGGTCATATATCTACGTTAATTTTAACTCCAATAAAAAAAAATTGACCTCATACATAGAGAAAAGGGTTGCTTTATCATTTCATAAGAAAAAAATTATAGTAAATATATTAATTCAGGAAAACTTGGCTTATTAGGCAAATCGGGCCTTGAATAGTAGGCTGAGAAGTGAGTTCTGGCTACTAGGTACGACATATATATATATATACATATATATATATATATATATATATATATATGCTATACATATATGCTATACATATATGCTATACATATATGCTATACATATATGCTATACATATATGCTATACATATATGCTATACATATATGCTATACATATACATATATATGCTATACATATACATATATATGTATATCTAAGCTATGCTTGAAACAATCCAGTGATCCCATGTCTGTTACCCAGCAATTTGTTCCATAATTAAACTATTCTATATATGAGAATTCATCAATAGGAAGCATTTCCAAGTGAAAGCTTGCAAAATGGACATGGTTGAGCAGTTAACAGGGTGTTTCAGTGATGAGGGTTGTGAACATTTTATTGCTAAAGTGCTAGTTATTTACCAAGTGAGGGAAACAAGCTACAATAGTAAAACTTGTTTCAAAGCATCATACTACAGAATACTGGCAAGACTGAGGGCCACGGGCATGGTTAACATCCCGTAACTACTTAGTTACACAACTGTGATTTGGGTATCTGATACTTGTAGATTTTTTGATGTTTGAATTCTTGAAATGGAAGAATATTTTATAAATTACATATCACTTAAACTTTTGCATTATTGGATTTTTTTGCACATGAAAACTATTAGCCATAATATTCTTTTCAAAGTACTGTATTTACCATGCAAGTCTGGTCTTCATTCTAATATTTAAAAGTATTTAAAATTACAATACTCTTTAGTGCAGAGAATGTCACAATGTGGCTGAAAGTTACACCCAGCCCATGTTCAAAAAAGGGATGATATCTAGACTTAATAAGGGTTCAGGATGAACCATAGACGTGTCGCTTTGTTCATCCGAGTTGGGTCTCCCCACGTTTTAGTGTAATTACAGCAAAGATTGCTTGTTTTAAAGTTTCTAAACTGCTGCAATGTTGAACACTAAAGATGTTTGGCAGAATGACCCAGTGCCTTGTCTAGTACCACAATTTGTTTCTCTTCAGATGTTCATATAATTTTGCAGAAATGTAATTATTTTCATTAAAATGGATTGTTTGACAAGTCACTGATAGATTACAATAAATATTCATGACACTGTTTTAGTTTGCTTTGGCTGGAAAAGGTAGCATTCCCTCCCCCCTCCCTCAGGGCAAATGACATTGATAAAACATAGTGTTGAACATCTTGCAAAAATCTTACTTTAATTTAATGCTACACGAGCATATTTTGCCCATTGGGGTATTGGTGCTCTGATTTTGAATAAGCAAAATGAGCAGATTTCCACATGGCAGGTCTGCAGTTTTATTAGTGAAAGTTCACTTGCTTCTTGGGTAGTTGCCATCATATACTGTATACCAGAAATACTTTTAACATGTTTACAGGTTAAAATAAAATAGAATAATTGTTGAATGTACTAAATTTAAATGTCCTGATCTCAATCGTGTTCAACAAAGTATAGGCAGTAAATAGTACTTAAACATGTGTGCTTGAATATTACATGCAAAGGTTACTTTTAGAAAAATGATGTTGCGTGTCTTTTTCTAACCATGTACTTTGTCCTTACCACCACCAGTTTAGTGTTACTGAATCAAGCTCACTATATTATATTTAACATTGCTGAAATTTTAAATAATAATATTGTTTCTTTAATTTTTACCAATTAAGGTGTGTCGAATGTGGTTGGAATGTGAATAAAATGTAAATTTGCATTTTGCCGTAGGAAAATATTAATCGGCTTTACATTTGGGAGTCAAAGCAAAGAGTACTTTAATCATTTTTATTTTTAAATGAAGCTACTCACTTTTTCTCACTGATCTGTATATTGTCTTTATTCATAGTTTACTTTTAAAAGATTTAGTTACTAATTTCCAGTCAAGTCTGTGATTCCAGCCCTGTGATTACATATGCATGTGCATGTTCAATGCAGCTTCTTTATATCACAATATTTTCTATGTGCATTACAATTGCACCGAAGTTTGATACACTATATTTAATCACTGCTTGCAAATACTTGAGTATATTTTTTATTTTGATAATAAAAAAAATACTGAAAATGCACCGACAATATGTAATAGAGAATCGGCCAGTTCTCTTGATTTGCCCCCACTGAAAAAATGTAACCCTTTCCTTAACCTCGTACATATGAGCTGCACCTAACTTCAAGGCAAATGAATAGAAAACCAATATTACGATGCTTTAATTTTTACTAATACGCAGCATTTTTAATGGAATGATAAATTCCATAAAAGCTCCACATATTATGCGAGATGATGGGTTGAGATCAATGGTGTTTGTCAATACTGATTCTGCATCGACTCTCATGAACTATAAGTCTGCAGTATTCGTGAGGTTTCCTTGAATAAGTTTGCAGTGGGTTGCAATGTACTTCCTGAATCACTGGTGTTAATATATTATTGTGATGGTTAATATCTTCATTTTCAGATATAGTTAAAAAGTTTGGCCACTTTTAATGTTAAGTTTTGTTACATAAAATTTTTATATATTCTATACTGGCACCATTACTGGAATGCCCTTATTGATTTATGTACTGCATTGGGTGATGCTTTTGACTGTAATTTGTAGTAAAGCTCTGTAAAGAATAAAGTACCACATACTGTTGATGAGAAATGGCCAGTTATCACTACCCTTCACACTTTAAAAATAAGTGAACTTGACAAGAAACAGCTGATCTGGAATAAAGAGAAAATAAGGTTAACTTGAAGAGCAAAAGGAAAGTGGGGGGACACGAATGACTGGTAGCGATGCACAAGAGGGAGGTCATATGTAAATGTCTGCAGACTTTCTTGTTGAACTCGTGTTTTGTCATTTGTCCCTTCCCTTGGCATTCCTCCTACCACTGTAATAGACGGTGGGAAACAACTCTGCCTGTGGCCATATACGCTTAACTCGCTGGCACTTAATGGAATGCTGCCCTGCTCCTTATTGTCCGAACTGCATTGTCCCACTTAAGTCATGCACCTTGTAGTGTGTTCAGGGGCCAGATTCATGAAGCCATTACGCAAGTACTTACGAACGTGTACATTTTTCATCAATCTTTGATGGCTTTGGTTACATTTATTAAACAGTTTACATGCATGAAAACTTCCCAATCAACTGTTATTGTTATAAACAGCCTCCAGGTGCTTCGGAGATCATTGACTAATAATTGTAAACAAAGTCGCCAAAGATTGAGAAAAGATGTACAGGTTCGTAAGTACTTGTGTAACTGCTTCGTGAATCTGGCCCCAGATTTGCAGGACAAGTCTTGCTTTATTAATGCCCCTCAAAGTCCTTGATGAATTAGGCAATAAATAAACATACTGAAACATTAAGTTATTTATTATTAAATATACATTGGTGTTAGTGGTTAATTAGTGGGTTCATAAGTTTTATATTGTATGTATAAGAAAATAAAGTAATAAAGCTTGGCAATTACCTATACTGTACTCATCTAATTTTGTCCTAAATACATTAAAACTCAAATCTTTTGTCTCAAGAAGGAGAGAAACAAAGGTTATATATATTTTAAATCCTTTACCACTATATGTGCCTCTCCACTCTTTTAAAGTGCTGAACCCTACACACACACACTGATAAATAATGTAATTAACAAGGAATCTCTAATGCTAAACATTTTATATGCCATTAGAGATGCAAGAGTTGTGAATGCATCACAAGGAATGTAATTTATTGGAGAGCAAAGATACTGTATATATGTTTTAATGAGGGTTTCTAGAGTGCCACTCTCCCGATTGATGGCATATATTTAGTGAATATTAATTGCTGCTTATATATATAGTTTGATGATTATTGTAAATGTTTAATATCCCATCTTGAATCAGATGTAAGCCATATCTTGAATTCTTTGCCTTGAAAATATTTTTAAGTTGAAGCAAAAATATTTATACAGTATTTCAAAATGCCACCTGATGTCTCTCCACCTTTGAAGCAACAAACCCCACAGCCTCAAATAATCCAGCCCGTTCTCTAAACAAAGACCCCAAAGACTATTCCATGTGTCTGCCAAACCCTGTTTATTTATTTAAATCGAGTCCGTTTACACACGACTCAACTAATGACGTTTAACCACTTCCGGAACAAGTGCTTCACTGACGAATTTTGTTCGAATCACAACGCTGTAAATGCTTCACCCTTGTACTGCAAATACAAATAATCGCCAACAGAACCTAAACACCTAACCAATGCCTAGATATGTACAATGTGGTAATTTAAAATATTGGTTTATTTTTTAGAAAATAACCGTTTTGAATGAACAGCATGTTAAAATTGATGAATGCAACCTCAAGTTCAAGTATGTTTATTGAGATAAGCAAGAAATACATCTCAAAGGGATAGAGTAGCTTAGGCTATTTCTACCCCCCTCTACTTCAAGTCCCTCAAGGGGCGCACAAATTGAATGCGTCCTTGGGATCGACTGCTGGATGGAATGGACATAGTCTGAAGACGGGTTGAATAATCAGGTTGAATACATTTTGTAATTAACAGATTCACTAATAATGTTTAACATTTTATACACCTTCTATAACACAGCTATATTTGTGATGACATTTCAAGGAATATAGCTTTTTGTATGTAATGATATAGCTACACATCACCGAAGTTTGAATACTTGAAGGCTACCAAATCATAGCCGATCTTCAGACAAATACATGATTGATCAGTTCACTAACTGAGCTGACGATGCGATTATCAAAGGGAGGGAGGAGCAACACAATGTTATCTTCACTGACTGGTAAAATGAAAAGCATTTGTGGCATCTATCGAAATGAACTAGTGACAAAACCTTACCACTGCACATAAACCCTTTCCTGAGACAAAATACATAACACTTAAAGAATAGTCTTTGTATCCTTTCAGGTTTAGTACCTGCTTTCTACTCTGCTGAAAGTCACTAAAAGAGGTTGTTGCATCGTACTGGCATTTGTGATTTTGCTGTTAACAAAAAAATTGCATTGTTCAGCTAACAGGAGTTCAGTGGATGCCTGTATGGAATGGGTACTGGTACACAATTGCCTCCTTGAGGAATGCCAGGGACTACAACTGCATAACAGTCTGTTTATCTGCTGTATTGTGCATTAGTTTTTCGACAACAGGCGATAAATGTATGTCTCTAAGCATGCAGGATAAACAGGTCTCCAAGCATGGAGATCTCATTTTCAGTAGGACATAGCTGCCCTGTAGAAGGTGCTAAACCGGGCAACAAAAGTCATTCCAAAGCTAAATCATCTCTTGTATAAGGAACGGTTGAGGGGCCACAGGGCTAACAACACTTCAAATTAGGCATGCTAGGACGGATCTCATTGAAACTTAAAATACTGAACAAGTTAGAGAATGTTGATCCAGAAAGTTAGATGTAACACAAACAAGGGGGCAACAGTTTCAAGCCACAATGTAGGACCGAGAACAGGATATGCTTTTTCACCCACAGGTTATTAACCCATGGAACCGCCTACTCGCCGAAGCCGTAACTTACCTGGAAAATATCAAGGCAAATGGAGGGACCTTCGACAAGCTGCCGCCTTCCTGTCCTCGTCGAGGCCACTAGGGTTAGTGGCCCCCTCAGGTAAATCAGGTAAAATAGCCGAGTTTCTCCAAGTGAACAAGACCATGCACGTGAGGGCATAACAATCCACGCCACGACTACCAAATTAACAGCATTACCTTACAGCAGAGTGATGAAGAAAAGGACCTGGGAGTCAGAATCCATCTTTTACTGAAAGTTGCACAAGTGGAAGCGGCAGTACAAGAAGCTAATCAAACCCTAGGAATAATCCAGCATTCCTTTGACTTGAAATATTACAGCAAAGATGTCACCAGGGATCTCAATGCACCTATGATAATTATCATAGTAAAGAACACATACACATTAATATGATACCCAACACACACATGAAATTTTACCTGAATTTATCTGAGGGTCACTACACTGGTTACCTTGACGAAGACAGGAAGCCGATGGCTTGTCAAAGGCCCCTCCTTTTTTTTCGTCTTAAATAAATAAAGCTAAATAAAGACTAAAAATATTAAGAATAAAAATAATGTAAAATAAGTTAATTTGCTCTGTCTTAAATGTTGTTGTTGTTGTTGTGTTGATTTAGGGGCGACGACGATCGTGGGATAACTCTGTCTTAAATCAAATATAGGAAGTGAAGAAGGTTTGGTCGGTTGTGGACCATCACCACGTCGTGCAGAGCTGAGGACCACTAGCACTATAGTGGCCTTCGTGAGGACAGGAAGCCGGCGGCTTGCCAAAGGTTTACCCTATTTTCCCTGATGATTATTTCCAGCTGGATTTTAGCCTTTAACGAAGTTTTAGTGTTTCTGGAAACAAAATGATCTGAAACTTTACGTTAATAGATTTGAATAGAAGATTTACCAGAAGACTGACAAATGTCGATAAATGCAAGGATTTTGTATGTGTGGCCTAACAACCCAAGCCACGACTACCAAGTGGGAGCAGCAATAAAGAAAAGCTAACTGAACCATAGGAATAATCAAGCATTTCTTTGACTATGGAAAAGGTGATAATTTTAAAATACTGAACAATTTAGAGAATGTTGATCCAGACAATTTCTTCAAAAGGTCAGATGTAACACCAACCAGGAACAACGGTTTGAAGCTCAACAAGCCACAATGTAGGACTGAGGACAGGAGATGCTTTTTCACCCACAGGGTTATTAACCAATAGAACCGCCTACCCGCTAAAATGTCAAAACTGTTAAATTTTAAAATACAGTTGAAAAAGATTACCAGGACAAGTGGGGGAGGGGGCATTTGACAAGCCGCCGACTTCTTGTCCTCGTAGTTAGTTTAGTTAATTTACTATGCACCCCATACCCATCTTGTGGGCGGTAGTGAAAAGGGTTACTGAGGCACATAATGGATTCAGGGACTGAACCCCACAATTCATTTAGCTAAGCAAGTTAGTCTTGATGATCTAGTAGTGATGAGCTTGTAGAGGTCAGTAGTGTTAGTGACCCTCAGGTAAATTCAGGCAAATATTTCTAAGAGTACTCGTTGCCCCTCACTGGAATACCTTAATAGCAAAGTGAGCTACTTTTGGTAGCTACTTTTTCGCTACTTGCTACTTTTGTCTGAAAAGAGTATCAATTGATAAAAAAATCATTGGGCTACTTATAAAACAATTTTCAGTATAGTATGGGCTCACTATATCTCGTGTTACATAAATTGTCCTGAGAAGCTAAATCTATAACACCAACAATGTCAGTAGAAATGTTCGCTAGGTTGATGAAGTAGAGACGTGGCAACATTGGGGAGCTGTAGTGAGGGATGTAAACACAAGTTTGAGCCGTGGCTGACCAGTTGTGGCCAACTTTCACTGTGTTTGATGTTAATATCCATGCCAGTAGACATCAACAACCTTGCTGATGGCTGGCTTGAACTCGAGAGTGATCCAGGTGTGGTGATAATGGGGTTTATTGTGCTCTCATGTGTGTTTCTGCCGCTGATATATCTTCTTTGATCCAGCGTTTGTTTGTACCGGTTACAGATGTTAAAATGAACTAGGATTAAAACAATAATTTGGTTAATGTTTGTATCACGGCGTTTTCTCCAGGGATTATCATCATAGTGTGATGTTGCAATGAATATTGGCAGCCATAAAATGTGTTTTAAATGAGTTTTCTATTTTGAAAGGGTTTTGAAACCCGACAACAGTTGATTAACTCCCTGGTACCCCATTACTCCTAGGTGAAAGAGTCCCCTACAAACTGAAAACATCCATTTATTTTGACTATGATATAAGGTGAGGTAATTATCAGAAGAAGAACTCGTAGTCTGGTGGATAGCTCGCAGGACAAGTAATTCTGTGTCGCGGGTTCGATTCCTGCACGAGGCAGAAACAAATGGGCAAAGTTTCTTTCACCCTGAATGCCCCTGTTACCCAGCAGTAAATAGGTACCTGGAAGTTAGTCAGCTGTCACGGGCTGCTTCCTGGGGTGTGTGTGTGTGTGTGTGGTGTGTGTGGAAAAAAAAGTAGATAGTAAACAGTTGATTGACAGTTGAGAGGCGAGCCAAAAGAGCAAAGCTCAACCCCCGCAAACACAACTAGGTGAATACAACTAGGGTGAATAAGCCATTATGACTATATAGCACCTGGTAGGGATATGAGGATAAGTATTTGGGATAGGAGGAGGGAAGTAATGGTACCCAACCATTTGAACAATCAAGGATTGAATGTCAGCGTGCAAGATGTGAGGCCAATGCTGTACTGACCAGTCCAAGTGTTTGGGCACCATATGACTGATGTTTTATTCCATAGAAGACATGTAGAAAATACTGGAGGGCCAGGTACCAAATCTACACAATAAAATAACAACATACTGGAATGAACACTATGGAAGAAAAATGCAAAATAAAACCAATGAAGAGCCGGGGTGCCATAGGCACTCGAAGAACACTGTATAAACATCAGAGGTCCATGGTTGTTCAACGTACTCCCAGCGAGTATAAGAAATATTACCGGAACAACCGTGGCCATCAAGAGAAAACTAGATTGTTTTCTTCAAGAAGTGCTGGACCAATCGGGCTGTGGTGGGTATGTGGGCCTGTGGGTCGCTCCAAGCAACAGCCTGGTGGACCAAGCTCTCGCGAGTTAAGCCTGGCCTTGGGTCAGGCTTGGGGAGTAGAAGAACTCCCAGAACCCCATCAAGCAGGTGTCAAGCAGGAACCATTTATATTGCAGCCAACTAAAGTGGTTGGATGCATTCCATTCCTCAGTCCTATACTAAATCCTTGTCCTATTTCCCTTCAAAGGGCTATATAATTGTAATGACTTAGTGTTTTCCCGATAATTACCTTAAATTGTATACCCTTTATACATTCTTTCATTTACTTTGTTTCTGGATTGTAACTTTCTCTCTGACCAAATGTTAGATAAAATTCCTGCTTCAAATTTTGCTTAAATGGTTAATCATTCATCCTCATTAATTGATATTGTGTGTGTTTGCTTTTAATTGCCTGATTTAATTTAATACTTGCCTGAAATGCTGTGCGTATTAGTGGCTTCAGGTATTGTATGTACAGTACTAGCTCTTATCTATTAATCCGACATTATTTTTGTAACTCATTTTTAATGTACAGTGTGTACCTTTGCCTGAATAAATATCTTATCTAATTACAGTAGTTACCCCCCTCATGACAGTACTGTACTATATGTTTGTACATTCTTAAGTTTTTATTTCAGGTGTTCCTTTTGCCTTTTCAGTTGGCTGCTGAAACAAGTATATATGCTATATAATAAATCAACATAATTATTCATTTGCAGGATTGTTCACGCTACTTTTGGAGGACATGGGAGTACGAGGAGTTCAAGTTGAGGAAATATACGATCTGCAAAAGTCATTTGAAGGCAAAGTGTTCGGGTTTATTTTTCTATTCAGGTAAGTGAAAGATCAAATTTAATGCTAGGTACTCGCCAGTAGTTTATTTTTATTTTCTAAATTTATCTGACCACACTGAATTTAGATATCTATAAAATTTAAAAATTGCATGACTACCTAACAAGCATTTTTATAAATATTAATACTTTAATCTTTAACTTTGAGTGCCTTGCAGGTATTAAATTTGTTTTTAGACCTTTAAAGGGGTTATATATATTCTGAGTGGTTATTCAACTGTACAAAACTCTGGTGCACCCCCATTTGGACTACTGTATCCATGCCCATGCATAGTCCTCATCTTCAGGAGGACATGTCTGCTTTGGAGAAAATGCAACGCAAAGCGACAAACAACCCAGAACTATGTTGTCTCATACCAGGAAAGGTTGAGAACTACAGGACAACCAACACTTCATATCTGACATGACAGAGCAGATCTTATAGAAACTTTTAAAATGCTGAACAAGTTGAAGGATATTAATCCAGAGCACTTCTTTAAAAGGTCACATACAATGCATACAAGGGGCAACAACTTCTCACAAAACAAGCCACAATGTTGGACAGACAACAGGAAATGCTTTTTCACCAATGGGGTTAACCCATGTGTGTCGGATGATTAATTTTCAGCCACATTATTTTGACTTATTTGTAGATATTCACTTATGTTTCATTAATCACAGAGATTATATATGCATTTTATGGTATTTCAGGAATGACTCTTTACATTAATATGAATATATAAGAAAATCACATTATTGTGAAGTATTACTGAGACAATCAGTAGGAGCCTCGAGGAGAATTTGAACCTGCACTCACAGTACACTCAAGCATGAACTTTGCACTACTTAACAATGACATGCTCAAAAACGTGTCTTAGTTAAGTGGTCTAAGGCGTGTGCTTGGGAGTACCCAGTGTGCAGGTCTAAATCCTCCTCGTGGCTCCTACTGATGGTCTCAGTAATATTAATTATGAGCTACTAGTTAGATATATCATTATCCCTTGGGATAGGATAGAGGTAAAGAATGATTATCCAATCACTTGGATTGGATGGTAAAGTAATGGTCTTGGTTCTTGCAGGTCGGTGTTCAATCCCCACCCGTGCAAGTGGCTGGGCACAATTCCTTCCCTCTATCCTATTCCAAATACTTATCCTTGTATCCCAACCCTTGCAAGTGCTATACAGATGTAATGGCTTAGTGCTCCTTCCTGATAATTATCTTTTACTGCTCCAGTTTACATATGCAATTTTTCCCATTTGATTTGTTAACTCTGTTTAATCATGTGCACCGCGTTGTAGTATTTTTAATTGGCAGAGCAGCTTCGTGTTAAGGTTCTGATTCTTTGTGCAATGTAAGTTTAATAAAGCAAAATAATGGCAGGTGTGAGAGTTAATCCAGCTATGTTTCAGGTGGATAGAAGAGAGACGCTCTAGGAGAAAAGTGGTAGAAAATCCAGATAATTACGTTCAGGATGAAAATGTAGTCAACAATATGTTTTTTGCACAACAAGTAAGTTTATTATTTGTAACTTGTTGTAAGTTTATAATAAGTAAGTCAGCATAGTAAAAAAATATGCAGACCCAAAGTTAAATAAAAAATTTTGCTTCAAATTTAGCTATGGTTCACGATTCATCATTATTTTATATATGTGTGTCACTTTAGTTATCCCCCATTAGGACAACACCAGTACTGTATGTACCATTACAGTATTTAAAAAAAAAATTATTTTAAGTTTTCCTTGCCAGATACTGTACTTCTAAACATACTGTACTGCATATCAGTATTTGTGAATTGATTTGAAATTTGTAATATACAGTATGTATACTATGATGAAATCAGTCAAATAAAAAAAACTATATTCATAAATTGTTGTACATTCATAATTTGGAAAGTTTACATAAAAATATCAGTACATTAATTACAAAAGAGTGTCACAATAACAGCATGGCATGTAGTTATTATAATTACTGTATCTAAATCAGAATCAGAAACTTTATTTGTAACAACTTATACAAATCACTATAATAATGAATGAACCAAACAGGTGTATGGGAATCAAAACTGAGCTTGCAGTTTTGTCATAAAGTGAGTGATATTCAGCTAAGATTTGAATGGTGATACATAAAACAAAGTTTGGCTTACTATCAAAGCATTAAAATATTAGCATAATTTATATAAAAATTAGGATGAGAGGATAGTAAGAAGTAGAACTAATATAAACTAATCATACAATGTAGTTATAGAATGTTGCACACACTTGACATTATACATCAACACATTATGAAGTTTACTATGTTGTTATTATGACAGCACCCTCTTTAAACTAAAAAAAAAAAAAAAAAAAAAAATATATTTATCAAGTGGTATTTGGGTATTTTCTTTTGATAATTTCTTGTTAGGCAAGAAACAGGTTGCCCTTTTTACAGCACTTAACACTCAAGGAACATGTGGGCCATGTTGGGTTTAATATGTTTTAAGCTCTTTCTTAATTTAATTTGTAATGACTTCATTTAAAAAGGTTTTTTGAAAAATGTATTATCTTATTCTTCTGTGCATACAAATAATAATAATTCAGAATTCATAATAATTCTGTTTCATGAACAGATGTTTAAGAGCTCTGTATGTTAAATGTAAAGCTACAATTTAGTGGTTAAGTTCTATGGATCATTTATGTTGCCTCTTAAATCTTGATGATTATTTTTCCTGTCATAGTACTGCATTGTAGCTACCCAGTGGGACACAATATCCAAGAGTGGCATTAGTTCAACATTGAATCAACATTTGTCATTGATTCGCCGTTGAATTGGTATTGCGTTTGAATATTGTGTCCACTGGGTAAATGACCAAGGATAAAATGTGTGTGTATTTGGAATTATAAAGTACTTACTGTATTTTTTTTGGATGTGTGTGAATTTGATAGTCATGGTAATAAGAGCTCTAATTAAACTTGTATTATCAGATGGTGCCAAACAGCTGTGCTACACATTCCTTAGTGTCTGTTCTTCTGAACTGCTCAACACTTGACCTCGGACCTACTCTCTCTCGTCTCAAGATACATACAATTGGAATGAATCCTGAGAACAAGGTAATGCATGTGGTTTTTGTCAGTTATAATATTATGTTATTTTACAAGTACTGTACAAGTTAACTTGACATTAAAGGTAATTTCTTCCTAATACTTTTGTCTGCTGCTATTGTCTGGATTAAAAAATATGCTCAATGGAAAAAACACTCCTTACAGTGCATATCTATTCGAATTTTTCTTTTTTCTTTCTTTCTGAGTAGGCTCTCTCGGTAGCTCTCTCTGTATGTTGCAAAACACGCTTTGAGAAAAGTGCAAGGCCTCTGAAACTCACATTGACATACTGGGAGCCAGAACCAGAATGTGGCACACTAACAACCCTATTCAATAGCTGGAGAGGTTGCTGACCTGGAAAACTTACAGAAAACACTTGTTACCTAAATCCATTCAATAAAATATCTAAATTATTGAGATCACTTAAAATCTTTTCAAATGCACTCCTTAGACTGCATATAAGAGATACATCATAATTTACTCCTGGAAAATATTAGAGGGACTAGTTCAAGGTTTATACACTGAAGTGATTCTTTACGAGACCAGGAGCCACGGTATAAAACAGACCCATTGAAAAGTAGGAATACAATAAATACAATTATAATTATTAAGAACCCAAGACTTCATCATCCTCTAATTTTAGGGAACACAACTTGCTTACCTCTTTTGGCATTCAAAATGGAACTTTATAAATACCTCTGAAGGGGTATTTGATCAGACTGTGTGCAGTGATGTATAACCATACATGTGGGACCCAACTTCCTTTGTTGGCTTCCATGTATAGCTGGTCAAGGTATTTTGCCTTGCTGAAACTAATAAAATTTCATTTAATTTTACAAATTTAGTTTATTTTTATTGATATATTGGAGTTTCTTTTATAATTTTGAGTTCTATGTATCATATTCTATTGAATGTTGGTTATTTTCCCTTTAAAATTTAGACCAGTCGGTACAGTGATGACCTTGTATCAAGTAGGTCAGCGTTTGATTCCCGACTGTCCAAGGAGGTGGGCACTGGGCCTTTCCTCAATCCTCATATCCCAGTTCCTGTTATTGTTCTCATATTCCTTCCGTGTGTGTGTATATGCAATAGTCATACTGGCTTAGTACTTTCTCTGATAATTATATTTTGTATTATTTTAATATTGTTAATATATTAACAATATTAAAATTTAAAATTTCAGCTTAAATTTATTGTGTGTTTTGTCTTTAACAGGGCTGGGCAATAGGTAATACACCAGAACTAGCAAATGCGCACAACTCGCATGCAGCTCCTCAGGCTCGTCGGCGACCAGACAAAACTCCAGGAGTGCCCACAAGCAGTAGAATGTCTAATGCGGAAACTTTTCATTTTGTTTCCTACGTTCCTGTTAGTGGTCGACTATTTGAATTAGATGGGCTCAAGCCATTTCCAATTGATCATGGTAAAAATGCCTGCCATATTTTAGGATGAATGTACTGTACCCATATTAATTTTCATTCATATTACATCATCTCATGTTTTCCCTTTTGGCATTGTTCATATTTCCTCGCATTAACTTAAAATCTTAAATTTCGTCATATTTTTGTGGTCCCTTCATGTATGCATCTTTTTGCTGTTCATACTTGCCTTTAATATGTACTGTATATAATTGCCTTCAATATATTCTACTCTTATTTCCGAGCTGTTGTACTACAATGCTTCCTAAAATTAGATCACTGACTGTCCCTCACTTTCATGATCCTGTCCTTGGACAGGATCATGCTGAATATTGGTAAACATTTTGTCACTATATTTGTTGTTTTACCAAATACATTCCCATTAGGTCCATGGTCAGAAGGAGAAGACTGGACAGAAAAGTTTCGTCGTGTCATAACTGACAGGCTTGGTATAGCTACAGGCGGAGAACCATATCATGACATTCGTTTCAATCTCATGGCAGTAGTACCTGATAAAATTACGGCGTATAGACGAAAACTTGCAGCATTAAGAAGAAATAGGTGAGTATAAAAAAATATCACATTGTTGACCTTGATTTTTTACCAAACTGCATAAACTTGTTAAAGATAGTATAGAATATAGACTGTGACATACAGCTAAGGTTTTCAATATGAAGGAGTTTTCATTTAGATAATTTGTATTACATAGTTGTAAGCTACCTTACCTTGTGTGTAGCTTCCAGGGATCAATGTTCCCACGCTAAACGTAATTTGTTCTCTCCCATAACAAAAAAGTAATTTAAGCTGATAATTTTCAAACACTTATTTCTAATTTCAGGGAAACAATTTTGGAAGCTCTTCATCAGTTCGTGCGACAGAAATATCCCCAGTACATAGGCAAAGAGAAACCACTACCCACTAACACGTCACATCCAGATGATGATATTGGTAATAAAGTATTAATTTGAATCTAGTGCATCAATAAGTTACATTTAGTCTTTTATTAGCATAATTTTATTAATTGTTATGATGGAAGAGAACCACAAAGTGCTAGCAGTGATGTATTGAAATGCCAAGTAAAGAATAGACTTTAAGATTAGGCCTTCTGCCATTTCATTTAGTCTTTTGTCCCATACAAAACAGCTCCTATTTATATATCCACCTAATAATTTGTGGGAAATGAAGGTATCATAAAACCAAAGATGCAAAGGATTAAATTATTATTTCAAGTACTGTATACAAATTTAGACTTAATCCCTTGCATCTCTAACTCTCATTGATCTGCTTCCCCAGCATCACCTCTCCCATTCTCTTGTATAAGCACTAGTTTTATGTATCCTATTACTGCGTGAAACATTATCTACAAATAAGTTAGCTCTAATGACAATATTAATTTTATATAACACTTAATGTCAGTTATTCTTATCATGCAAACTAAATGCAGCATTGATAATACTTGAATTTTATAATGCAATTTTTTTGTTAATATTTTCTTGGAGGGCCTTCCCCTTACTGGCTTTCTATGCTAAGTGCTGGTCTAGCTAAGCCTTAGGGAAATGTACCAGGCCTCCGAGGCCCACCCAAGCTTACTAGGGGCCAGCTGCAGGATCTGGCTCCTGCAGATCCTGCAGGAGCCAAGGATCAGGAGGAGCCAAGGAGCATCCTCCTGCAGATCCCCAGGAATCAGGAATCAGGAATCAATGAGAAAATCAGTAGGAGCCATGAGGAGGATTCGAACCCACCACTTGGTACTCCAAAGCTAGGGCCCTAAACCATGACACAGTCAAAAGCAATACAATCTGGGATTCAGCTGAATCCACTAGGGAGTCCTGAATCCTCCTCATGGCTCCTACTGATTTTCTCATTGATACATCACGTTAATGTGATATCATTGTTCATCAGGAATCTACCAAATATTGAAAGACTCAAAAGCAAGCATGAGTGAAACAAAACAAGCAACTGCTTGAAGAAAATTTGGTATCTGAAGGTAACAAGGCGCACAATCATTGCTGCAGTGTAATCATCGGGTTCCAGACAGAGATTATCACAGCCTCCTTTCACCCGAGGCCGACTTCCTTCATGATAAAGCAGAAGGAAGAGTAATAATTATTATTTAATTGTTATTATTATAATAATTATAATAATAATTGATGAAATTAATAATTATTACTCTTCTTCTGTAGACGATCTCTGTCTGGAACCCGTAAGTGCAAGACTTGGACATCTACCTCCTGGGGCTCGTGCGGCCCAAGCTCTGCTTCAGAAGGGTGGGGTCATTCTTCTGTGGCTCCAATCACAGTGGTTTCTGGATTTGGAGTCCCTGTGCCTTCTTTTACCAACTTCAAGGTAAAACCCCCGAAGCTGGAGCCCCTAAGGCAGTTCGTTGTTGCCTTCAGCCTCATTCTGACAGTTCCTGTGATGGCGCTGGAACCAATCGTATTGGCGTTTGCCTTTCCATAGGAGACTTTCAGTGCCTTGGAGAGGGGAGAGGGGGAACCTTCTACATGGGTGACAGCTTCTCCCCGTATCAACCTACCCTGGTTTTGTGCCCTGGAGAGACCATTTCAGAACGATAACCAGAGTGCAGGCGATGAGTCACAATAACGTGGCTGAAGTATGTTGACCAGACCACACACTAGAAATTGAAGGGACGACGACGTTTCAGTCCGTCCTGGACCATTCTCAAGTCGATTGTGATGAGGAGGTAGGGACAGGCAATAAATAGGCAAGAGAGAGCTGAGGAGGAAAGTCAGGTGTAGGGGATAGTAGTAATGAGAACTGCAGCAGGCCTATTGGCCCATACGAGGCAGCTCCTATTATAACCACCGAAGGAGATAGTAATAGGAAAAAAGAAGAGGATAGCAAGGGAGCGTAGGAGAAGACAATGAACAGAAAAAGGGAGAAGAGAGAAAGAAAAGGAAAGAGAAAGAAAGAAATGGAAGGGGGAAAGCTTATGTAACATAAGCTTTCCCCCTTACCATGAGTTACTGTGGTTTGCTGTGATTTTGAGTAGTGCCAAATGACTGCTCTCGATTCAAATCCTATTATATTATTTATATTACTGAGAGAGCTTGCAGAAGGCATTTTGACTAGTGAGAATTGCTTAAAAGCTGCTGTCACTTCCTGTAAATATTCAGCTTATGTATTTAGGAATATTATGAATGTGGTATTGAAGCAGTTATTTTTTTTATTACTTTTAATTTTCACTTCAGAAGAAGGTAACAACCTATCTCTCTTGGCGGTTGCGGCATCTCAAAAGCTGGAGGCTCAAGGTTATGCAGACATGGCCCTGAATGAGTCCCAAGATGCTGCCCACGAGGCCGGGATACACCATGCACCGGTCAAGAGAGAGCACACCACTGCGGTTAGAATAAAGCTATGTTTTCCTGTTTCTTATTTATAGATATTTACTATAAGAATATCGAGCTGGTGTTAAAATGTACTAGACGAGAGATATACTGGTACGGTATATTTATGTGGTCTTGCCACCACACGTACCACCGGTACGTGTGGCGACGAGATGTCTGTTTCGGCTCCACAGGCTGAAATCAAAAGTCAAAACAAACTAGTTTCAGGTATTTGTAATGTTCCAGCATCATTGAACTTAAAAAGGAACAAAATATAGTAATAAAGACATGAAGTGGCTAAAATGTGTGTAACTGGTGAAATAAATTGCCGAATCAGTGCTAACTTGTTTTCCGCGTTGATGACTTGTGAAGTCTTGAACAAATGTGTCATTGCAATGCGTCAGGGAAGGAAGTGAAGATGCTGTTATGTGAAAATAATACCAAAAGACAAAAATTACTAAAAATTTGTAGATTTATACGGGATATTTGTAGGAAAATTGCACTCTAAGGCTTGATTTATGAACAGATCTGTCATTCTTTGCTAGATTAATTAATCACCAATGACTCCATAGCACTTTAAAAGTTCCCTGGTGGTACCATCCAGTATGTTGTCATTCTGTCTGATTGCATGATCCTGTCCAATGAACACAGCAGATCATACATTAGCCAATGGCAGCATAACCAGCTCAGAAAAGGTGGAGTGGCAGCAGCATTGGTACAAGACCACTGAAGAGTGAAATAGTGTACCACTGTGAAACCCAGGAGATGTAGAAGTTGTAATAAGAGGTCCAAAACTAAACAGATAGCCTGTTAATTATCAATTCCTATAGTCTGCCAGCTAACTGCACTTAGACAAGAGAGGAGTTTAGTGGAAAATGTTTGACAGGACTAACATTTGCAAAGAAGATATCAGAAAGCTGATGAAATTGACACCAGACTGAACAATAAGTTAGTTATCTAAAATGAAATTTGTGCCTGTTGCAGAAGATGTTCATGTATTAACATGTAAAGCAGACCATTAAGGAATAAGAATTCTTTTATGTTCTGTTCCTGCCTCTAATTGGAAAAAGAGAGAGTAACCAAGTTCTATTGGAAATTAAATGCGTACGGTCAGTCAGCCTTCATAAACAAAGGCCAAAGTCCATTCCATGCACCTGCCAAATTCCCTGTTTATGAATGAGAAAACGGTTTACACACGATTCACAACCGATGACGTTCGAATATTTCTTGAACAAGTGCTTCGCTGACAACTTTTGTTCGAACCACATGGCTGCAAATCCTTCATGCACATACTACAAATACAAATAATCACCAACAGAACCTAAACACCTAACTTAACCAATGCCTAAATATGCACAATATTCTAATATATAACAATACATACTAATTTTTATTTGAGAAAATTCCTATTTTGAATGAACAGCATGTTAAAATTGATGAATGCGTCTTTGGGGTCGAATGCCAGATGGAATGGACTTGGTCTGAGGATGGGTTATGTTCAGTATATTGACGAGACTTGAGAAATGGACAAACAAAATCTCGGAAAAAGTTTGTGTGGGCTGCATCTCCCGGGACTTATAAAAGTTATTAGTCTCATGTCAAAGATTGTATAGGATGTTTGATCACATAGAATTGGGCTTGAAGGATTTTTCTAACAGGTAGGAAGATGATTATAATGTTAGTAGTATAGTTAGAGTAGTGTCATTAGCTGGGTCCCACAAGGCTCGGTACTAACACGAGTAATATTAACAGTGTACTCAAATAGTCTACTGGAGAGTATTCAAAGTTGTATAAACCTGCACAATGACACCAGTGTTGAGTTGTATCCATGAGAAAATATTAAGGCAGTAAATAGGATAGAACTTTCATCCCTAGAAAGGTGGGGAAGCATCACTACGTACACCCGAGGGTCGGTGGGCATGTCGTAAAACTAGCTGCGTGTGAGGTACCGGCAAGTGACTTCCATCGAGTGAGTCTGGTAGTACTTCCAGTTGAAATGTATTTAGCTTATCATGGTTCAGTGGGTAGTGTGTGTGTGTGCATGTGGGGAGCCCAAGGAAGCAAATTTTGTCCCATTATATTGCCTCAGTATTTTCTCATTAGTATGAAATTGTTCACAGGTACAAATTACTAGGAGGAATAAGATACCTGACTTAGAGATAAGTGCATGCAGTAGAAAGTGATTAATGGAATTTAATGTAGGCATGTACATTGCAATGGAGAAATAGTACTGTATTATCAACAACACTATTTAGTAAACAACAATGTACTGTGTGTATTACAAAGCTCATACATACAGCACTTCAGGCAAGCTTTAAGCTATTCAATATATTAATAGAATTAGAGCACATAAAAGCAGTAGACTCCTGGTTCTGCACAGGGATGCTCTTCAGGTGACTCTGCCAAACTAAACCATATAGCATTTACTTAATTAAAAGTAAAGCAGTATGTCTTCCAGGACTAAGAAGTTTATGCTGTGGAACATTACCTCAGGAAGGTGGTAAATGCTACTGGAGTCTGTATGGAGAATAAATGTGATGTATAAGACCACATTAAGCCTAGCATTGAAGATGAAATGACACTGACGATGTGCTTCAGTTTAAAATAATAACAACGTGTACTGTACTGGTCTGCTGGATTCACGCCTCGTACTTCAACCCATTTGATACTGGAATCAAACCTTAGGATTTTTGTTATCATTGGCTGGAGGAACTTTGCATCAAGATCTTTGTTGCCATTGGCTGGTGAAATCAGTTCTCATTTGAAACCACCTGATTTCTGATTTATCAGAAATCAGAAATCAGGTGGTTTCAATGTTGAATTCTCAGTTAATGTACCATGAGAGTTTTGAATTTCAATCAATTAGTAAGTTACTTCAAGAGGGCCCCTCAGTAGCCTTCCAGAGCCTTCGTTCTAATATAGTCCTGCAAGTCTTAAGAATTGAACTAATCTTCGGAAACTCACACTGTATCAATCCATGTTGGTGCAAACGTTGGCAACTAAGTGCTAAGCAAAAGATGACTACAATAAATTTAATGTTTGGTCAAAATTTTTACCCCACATAAGTGGAAAGTTTAAAAAGCCAGCATTTAATATAATGAAATGCCTCTTTCTGGTTGGGCCTCACTTAGATAGAGCCACAAATATGAATCACGTCAGCCTTACGAGTCATTAATGGCCTGCTGGAGACCAGAGCCAGAACCTGGCTTCCCCTCACAGAGGCTCAAGAAGCAGGGGATTGTTAAAATTGCTTTCAAGGAAATGTTTGGACAATAAGTGAAGCAAAACAGAGAGCTGTAAGGTTCAAAGAAATAAAAGGAACGAAGCATCCGAAGGAGGCCAGGCTAGAGGACCTGGCCTCCTCTTATAGCCCTCTGGCCCTCTCGTCCTTCTGGCCCTCACAGCCCTTAATGGCCCTCTGGTTTCCAGCAGGCCATTATGGACACCTTAGGCTGATATGACTCAGGTGTGTGTGTGGAACTATTTAAGCAAGCCAGCTATGGGGAGCCACCATTTGGCCCCTCCAGAAATCCCATTGTGCAAAACCAGAAGTCTGCTGTACAAGTCAATAATAAGAATGTGGTAATAGTACTAAATTACAAATTTAGTGATATTTTATATTATATTTGATATAGTAAGTACAGTATACTAGCTTTTAATTTTATAAAGTAAGTTACATATTATTTATGTAATGGGTTGTTAAGTTAGTTATTTAAGAAGACTAAAGCGAGATTGTTGCAGAATGTGTAGTTTTGGGATTCAAATTAAGATGTATGAAGTAGTTAATATATAAATAGAAGATAAAAATGAGAGTTGTGTAATTTAAATAAAATATAAGTTTCTTGTACTGTATTTTTTATAATTTGTGTATGTCTTAGGAAATATGGTAGTTTATGAAAAACTAGTTAACTTAACCAATTACAAGTCTGGTATTCCTAACAATAAAGAAGCTAATTTAAAGTTGGGGGAGAGAATGAGTTAATAATTTGTCTATTATAACATCAGTATGCATATCAGTCTAGCATGTGCAGAACACAAGAATTTAAGTATAGTTTAATCCTTTGGCTGGCACTAGCTTTTCAGCACAGTCTCTACCATAAGTCAAAATACAGCCCAAAACAAAGCTTTTAAATACACTTCTATTACATTCCAAGTAAGAAAAAGACCTGGTCTTTTTAGCTGGACCATTAAAACTATACATGTGAACAAATTCATTTAACTCCTCATTTTCTAATAAAAAAATATGGTCCTCTTTGACTCGTATATTGTTTACACTTAAAAATATATACTGTAAGTAGAGCAAATAGCCAGTGGCTCTGTTTTCTTTCCCCCCCTTGTACTATTGCTACTCTTCAGGTGAAGCTGACTATCTTCCAACAGTGTGCTTCCCTGCAGAGATGCTGGGAAGTTGTGCTGGCCAGATTAAGAGTCAGACATAGGGCTATCACATAGCCATTTAACCTGTGGACTGCTCAGCTGTTTAAAACTGTTGAATCGTTGTACAGCTGGCAAGAGATGGTTAGCAAATCAAATTGGAAAAAAGTCACCAATGGGGAAACTGTGCACAGAAAGTACTGTAATTGCAAATAGCAATTGGGGTAGCGTAAGGGTTAATTAAATGAAAACTAAGCATTATTTATAAAATGTGCAATAAAATAACTGTACAGCATGTACTGGTTAAATCCTGGTTTGCAATGACCAGCACACCTAAATATTCACTTAACATTCTCTGCTCTTTACATACAAGCTATTTCTACCCAGTTAACCAATAAGCCACAATACAATTTCATACCTATGGAAAGAAGATTTGCTTATTTTCTATAGTCCTTGCATTTGCACCTATTTTCTTTGCTTCCACAGAGAAAGCAACCACAGACCCGACAAAGGCTGTCAAATATATACTACAGTACAATAAAGAATTAATTTCTGCTATATTAATCAGCTTAACAAACATTTAGCAAACAATTTCGAGAATTTTTATATGAGAAGAATTATCAGAAATATAAACCGAGTAAATAAAATATAAAGCATCAGTAGTAAATAGACAATTTGCTTTATTGTTAGTTAAGTCACTCTCTTCAACCATAAATGGTATTTCTGGGAGGGATTCCCGTGATGGCTCCATGTAGCATCGGGACGCCACTGAGGAGACCCGCCAGAAAGAAGCGTTTCATTACATTGAACGCTGGATTTTTGTTAGTTCTAATTGACTTCTTATTCCTTTTCTATAAAATTACCGTTCTTATTTGTTTCATCAGCTACTTGGTATGCCATCTGTAGGTAGTATTTCGGCACCACCAGATTATGCCACACCATTAACCATAGAGACATCACCTGGTCCCCCTTCTACTCCAAGCACTGACACGGCATCAGAGGCAGGAAGTGCCTTTAATTCCCCACTGGTTCGTATTTTTGTTTAATGACTGTTCCACTTTAATTTTTTGTGGTATTTTAATGTATTTCTTAGTAATACAGTATATGATAAAAAGCACTGTACTAATTATAATTTATTCATGTACCCATAGAAGTATCTTTCAGATGTATACAGTACAGTACACTGGACTTTAATTATATAATAATGGAAATATTTTGATGGAGTTAACCTGTGCATCCAATGGACTGAACATTCCCTGCTGAACAAAATTCTTAAGAACAAACTTTGAGAAAGTGATTTTTTGGGAAAACATACGCATAGAGACATTTATATAGTTTGCACTAATAACATTACAGTATAATGATTTTTTTTATATAAAATAATGAAATACAGTACTGTATAGCATTCTTGGATGTAGAATTCTGGTTGGTGAGGAAAGGGCATGGTATTAATTTGTCCATTCAAGAGGGAGTCCAATGTACTGTGTTGTGCATAAAATCAGAATTGTTTTTGAAGTAATATAATATAATGTTGACTCTGTAGTTGTATTATTGAATATGATTACAGTATAGTATGAGATTCATTGTAGCAGGGTATACAGAACACACACAATTGTGCAAACTTCCCTAGGCCAACTACTGACTTTTCCAAAAGTGCAACACTCACCAACAGTTGCCTAGACTCTTGAGTACTGTACCTATTTACTCTAGGGATTGAACCCAGGTCCCTCAGTTATGAGTCGAGGATGTAGACCACTGTGCTTCAGGATCCATATTTGCATATTAGGGTTGGGACGTTTCTCTGTGTTCTCTCTGCTGAACCAAAGTACCTCCTCATCCCATGAAAATGGGACCTAGGGTAATGATGATTGGGTTTGAAATAGGTAATTTTTTTTTTTATATATATACATTGTCTCTTAGATTGTGTCACACGTTTGATAATTTTTGCAACCTTTCAATTCACAACTGGAAACTGGTCCCTGTGAAGATGGATTTTTAAATTTAGGGGACCAGTAAATGATAAAGCAACGTAATTATGAGGATAACGTGCTAAACATTATGGCTATATAGCACTTAAAAGGGATATGAGGACAAGGAGCTGTGATAGGACGGAGAAAGTGAGGAAATTGTGCCCAACCACTTGGATCATTGGGCATCAACTAAAGAAATGCAGATAATTAATCATTGGTGAATATCAAGGGTTTTGATAAAATGTGAGTAAGTATTTTTAATAAGTAAACATTTAAAGATATATTTTTATGGAAACATAAAAGATATCATTATAAAACTGAAAATAATATATTGAAAAAATATAGGTGTAGAATGTGTCATTTTCCAAAATGATGCATAGTAATTTAAATGTGTGGGCTAAAGCTAAAATTCCTATGTAATCATAAACAGGCTAGCAGTGGTTCAATGCAGAGTAGTCCAGCGACCAGCTGTGAGTACCAACATCTGGTTGTAGTCCGCCTTACTCCTGCCGCCACTCCTCCAGTGACCCTGGGTGCTGCACCAGTCACCACAACTCATTCTGTAACATCCACTACTAATCCAAGTGCAACTCCAGTTGTTGCCCTTTCAAGCTTTTCCGGTACGTATTAGTAACACTGTTTTTATATCCCTAATTTACATTTTCTGTGAGGCCTTTTTTGTAGCTCCATGTAGCTTGTAGTCTAGGGAAGCCAAGCCTTGAAAATGGCTTCCTAATCGCCAGGTCTCTGAGATCCTCATTGACCAACCAGGAGCCAGGAGGGGAAGGGAACTTGGTGATCAAAGATATACTCGGAACAAAACAAAAAAATAACCAGGAAGATTAGAAGATTAAGCTATTGCTTAAAAAACAAATGAAATTTGAGACAGGTAAGGCAAATGAGCATTATCACAGGCAAACAATCCTAACCCTCATGTGCCCAACCAAAGTCCAGTGCTGACAAATGGCTCTCACCTGAGGATAGATGAAAAGACCCCTGAACTCAGCAGACTGTATGATGGAGGTAACAGGAATGGTTATCAGGATCTAAAAATACCAGAAGCACACCCTGAGAAACTGCATGCCAAAGTCAGGTATTGGATGGAAAATCTGTAACAACCCATTCAAAAACACATGCAAGGCGATAGAACCCCCACTAAAAGGAGGAACTCCAAACACCAGAACCATCACACAGAACACCTTGAGACTAATGACATAATGGACAGACTGTATGGTTTTTGAACATGCAGATCCTGGGTAACAAATCATCTTAATTTTTATAATAGAGCCACAGAGGTGGTTGAGGTCTACAGGAAAGAGGTGGTTGAGTTGACTGTGTATCTGGATTTAAAGAAGGCTTTTGATAGAGTCCCATACAAGAGTCTGTTCTGGAAACGAACATGCTGGAGGGGTGACAGGGAGTCTACTGACATGGATGAAAGATTTTCTAACAGACAGACAGATGATGGCAATAATCATGTAATCATGAGACAATGTATCTGACTGGAGAAGTGTTACTAGTGGACTACCACAGGGTTCAGTTCTTGCACCAGTAATGTTCATCGTCTACATAAATGATCTGCCAGTAGGAATACAGAATTTTATGAACATGTTTGCGGATAATGATAAGATACTGGGGAAGATAGGAGATGCAGACGATTGTAATGCCCTTCAAATTGATCTAGATAAAATAAGTGCTTGGAGCATCAGGTTACAAATGGAATTCAATGTGAACACATGCCATGTTATGGAATGTGGAATCAGAGAAAATAGACCACACACAACTTCCAAATTATGTAGAAATGCATTACAGAACTCTAATAAAGAACGAGACCTAAAGGTGGTTTTGGATAGTAAGCTGTCGACCAGAGGAACACACAAAGAATATTGGGAGAGGAGCTTATGCGTCGCTTTCCAAGAAGCGATGCATATCTCTAGAAGGACATAAACTGGAAAAGGATCCACCCAGATATACTGTACTTCAGACTTGCTCTTAATTATATGGAGGGTGAAATACTAAAGAAATTGTTCATAACTTTGTGAGACCAAAATTGGAATATGCAGCAGTTGTATGGTGCTCAAATCTCAAGAAGCACGTACACTGGAAAAGGTCCAACGGCATGCTTCAAAATAGCTTCCTGAACTGAAAACAAGAGTTGCGAGAGAGAGAGAGACTAGAGGCGTTAAACATACCTAAACTAGAAGATAGAAGAAAAAGAGGAGATATGCTCACCACTTACAAAATACTACAGGAATCAACCATTATATATTAGGATATTCAGGATGTTGGTTTTCAGGTAGCCACCTGCCAATAATGAAATATACTGGTACTCTTGTTAGAGGTAGTTGCGTGGCAGAAATATGTGTTCTTATCATTGGACACAGGTTCAACATTAACATTACGTTGCTTGACATACAGTGCCAATGAAAGAAGTTCCTTTATATTCATAATTACATATTCCCTTCATTTTATTAAAATACTGGTATAGTAGAAAGACGTATGGACAGTGTGTGCTACTGTAACGTTTAATTTATATAAAAGATGTATACAATTCGAGGCCAAATGTTATTTATAATTAAGCTAACAAAAGGTAATTTGTTTACTTTATTGAACATAATTCTGTTACATGGTGACACTAAGTTCTTTGGATGTTGTCCTTATTTACAATGCACAGTTGAACAGTTTCATTGTACTTAGGTATTTTGACAGTCTAAACTTTCTACTAATAGATTTTTAAGTTTTTTGCCCATATGTTCAATTAGGGAAAATCTTTCTTCTTCAGGAACCATCGACACGCCTTGCAGTGTAGAGGTACCTATATCAGGTGCGGAATCATTGCACACAGTTGCTAAAAGATTGGAGTTTGAAGATGGAAGTTTAAACAAGTTCTCAATGGACGAAGATCCCCAGACACCATTAACAAGTTGCAATAATTCTCCAGTGTTCGGTTAGTGGTATTTAATAAGCTGTATTGAAAATGTGTGAATATCTCAATTACTGTAACTTGGGAAATCTTTAATGAGTTTTGTATAAGTTCTCTGTATTCACTCTATTTCAGAAATCTCTGTTGCTCTCAAATGGGAAGTGAGTACTGAGCAGTACTCAAGACAGGACAGCACCAGTGATTTGAATATTATCAGCATTGCTGTGGGATCTCTGGATCTGAATGTTCTCATAATCCATCCTCTCATTTTCCTGGCCGCCGCTATATTTGCTCGGTTATGTTCACTAAATGTCAAGTTGTAAGACATCATAATTCCCAGATCTTTTACATGTTGTTTTCCTTCTATGAGTAAGTGTTTCAGTTCCTTATTTCCACCATTCCTAAGTACCTGGAACTTATCACTGTTAAACCTTGTCATTTTCCATTAACCAATTGAAGACTGTGTTAATATTGGCTTTGAGTTTTTGAGTGTCTTCTACAGAGGAAATTTTCATGCTGATTTCTGTAACTGCAAAGGATGACATGAAACTGTGACTAGTATTTTTGTTTATATCCGAGATGAGAATGAGAATGGGCAGTGGTGAAAGATTGAGTGATGCTGAGTGAGGACGGTAACATGAAAGGTTCCATGTTACTGCAAAAAAGTGAAAAGTCAGAAAGTGATGATGAGTTGCATGACTGGCATGATGTGTGCTGAATCTGTCAATCATCAGTATCATGAAAGTACCAAAGAATCATTTGCATGTTCTGAATTCTATGATATCTATTCTTGAAGAGGAAATTCTTGTAAATCTCCTGTATACTTGAATGTTACTCCTTATTTCAGATGGTGGCATCAAAATGGATCCCATGTCTCTTGAACTAATGGAAAGCTGTAATAACCAGACATTAAGTTCGGAAAGTTATGAATCTAGTGCATTAGGATCAGATATTAATCTCAAGCAAGATGGTAATGATGTGAAGGATGATACAGAATATGATACCAGATGTAAGTATTAGATCCTTGTTGTCTTAGCATTTCTCCAGAGTTCCAATATGTACTAGAATATTTTTTATGAGATTGCACTTTAACCCTTATAGTGTTCCAATTGCGTTCGCAGTTTCCTCGTGTGTGCATTCGCCATATGCAATTGATTCTTAAGGGTTATCAATACTTTATTTTTTTTTTAAGTTCACTACAGAGTAGTACTTTGAAATAAAGGTGCAGTTTGAGGGTTAAAGATTATATAAGATATGTATTATGAATAAATAGTCAGATGATGTGGCAATATCCCATTCTCTATGAAAAGCCCTGAAAACCGAGTTCTTTGAGTGATTCACTTAGGTAAATTAGTGGTTAGTTAGCGTTAGTATTTGCCTAACATGACCTCATTTGCTAGGTATGTTAGGAATTAGTATTTAGTTTCAAAATTTCCGATAGTCATGACCAGTTTTTAAGGCGTTCATGCTGATAATCTTGCGTTTTTGTTAAATCTTGTCTCTTTTTCTGCTAGATAAAAGTGATTGGGACTCAGACTATACAAAGTCCCTGGAAGATGGAACATTTGCACCCACAGATCTTCTCACACTTGTCAATGTACTTGGAACAGAAATAACATCATGTGAAAATTTACTAAAGGATGAACTTGACAAAAGAAAACGTTACAAGGTAAGCCCCTGAGAAACCTAGATAAATGTTAATATTTTTTACTAATTAAAAATGCAGTTTCAAAATATTAAGCAATAAATGTAATGAAATGCCAGTTTTTTTTTTTTTGTGTGTGTGTGTGTGTGTGTGTGTGTGTGTGTGTGTGTGTGTGTGTGTGTGTGTGTGTGTGTGTGTGTGTGTGTGTGTGGGTGGGTGGGTGAGTGGGAACTTGGTAGCGTTCTCAAGCTTTTGCACTACAAATAGCCAAGTCTTTGAATTGCACAGTGCCTCTGAGCTTGATTCTGTCCTACCAGGAGTCAGTGCCAGAATGGTGAGGGAAGCTTGGGGATCAAAGATCTATCCAAAACAGAGAAAACACCATCAGAAAGATTAGGCAAAACAATTTGTACAACAATTTGTACAACTAAATGCATTGACAATGTACACCGATTGTTTAGATGTATAGTATTCTTTGTTTATCAGCATTGAAAGTATTACAGAAATTTTCACAATACAGTAATGTGACTAAACACAAATATCCTAACCTACATATATGAAAATAAATTAAAGTTACGACATTTCAGTCCATCCTGAACCATTATCAAGTCGTGACGACGTTTCAGTTCATCCTGAACCATTATCAAGTTGTTACAATGCGATAAGGGACCAGGACAGATTGAAATGTGATAAATTTAATTTCATATGAGTGGGTTGGGTTACATATTTAATTGAAAGGTTTAATAGTGTAATTGTCAACAGATTGACGACAGTAGGAGAACTCACAATTACGATCAGTTTATCATCACATTCCTGGCTATGTTAGCAGAACAAGGTAAAATGGGGGATCTTGTGAAACAGCAACTGCAACCATCAAGAAAAAGACCAGCCCCTGCACCTACCACTCCTAGAGGTTCCAAGTTAGTATTGTTTTCTCTGTTTCTTAAGTGTGTCTTGAGTCCCTTGCAAGACAGTCATTGTGGGTTAATCATTTTGTGTACTAATGTTTACTAATCAAAATCTCACATATTTTACCAAACTTCTTTCAAATTTAAAGCACATTTAATTTGCATCTTATGATGTTTACCCAGATAATCATTTGAAAAGTAAAAAAAATCTGTAGTTGTTTTGACATAGTAAATAAAACTGATAGATCAGACATCTAGTGTCTTATAAGTTTAGAACACCTCAGGCTAATTTAGTTCACATGATGTATATTAGAAAAACTCTTTGGAGTAGGACGGGATCAAAACATCTAAAGCAACCCCCAGATGCGCATCTTAATCATTGGACACCGATATGCTAAAGATTATGCAACCTGGGATCCACCCAGATATACCAGGACTCTGGAGGCACAGGGCGCGGCATTGCCCAGTCTCGCTCCAGAGATTTTCTCAGATATATTACGTTGTTATGGTATTATGTATGATGTATATTTTTATGGTCATGCCATTTTCAGTGGGCGTTCATACCTCATGAGTAGACAAATATGGCAAGTGTGCATTAGAAAATATGGTATGGCTGTGAATGGTGCACATAATGCAGTGTGTTAGCAGGGAATAAAACAAATTATTGCTCGGTGAAATAAGAAGAATGTGATAGATCTGTGAGAAAAATATTGAAACTGAATGATGGGATTGAACCCATGTCCCTGAACTCCTCAGGCACAGGCACTACCATCTGATCCATGATGGACCTAAAAGTATCTCAGCCAGAAGTATTACTTGATTTGTATGGAGTTTGGAGGACACCATGCAGTATGAGAATTCAAGTTTTAAGAGATACCAACCCCACACTTGGGTGCCGACCCACATTTGGGTGTCAACCAATTTATTATTTATCCCTAGCAATTTACACGGCTTAAATGCTGCTTGTATGAATATTTGGTTAAAGTTTGATGGTACTAGTTTCAGGTGTTTATCATGAGTATGGAAGGTGGTATTGAAAGGTTGGGTGTTACAGAATATCTTCAGCCATCCTTTTCTATGATATTTGTCCAATCCTTCCAGTTGCCTTCTCACCAAAGTGTGTGAAAAAGTGTAGTGATATTGATGACAGTGAGTTCTCTCTCTCACAACATGTAACACTTTTTATTCCTTTGCAGGACATCACTAAAAAAGACAGAATCAAAAACATCCCCGAATGCATCCTCCAAAAAGCGTGGCAGAAAGAAAAAGGCTAAAGGCAAAAGAAAAAGATGAAACTATTTTAATGAAGACATTCCAGTGATGGTACCATTAAGGAGACAGAGTCTTTTTCTATAAAAGCTTCATAATGTAACAAAAACCTTAATGTTAGAAGTGAGTAGAGCTTCTAACTGTATAATTGTAAATAAAACTGACATTGAACTCTATATGTAATTGTGTATCGACAACACTAGTGATTTCCTTGAAAGTTCTTTCAAGGAAATCTAATTAATTGTTAAATGACTCTGCAAATTAAAAGCAATATATTGCACGATTAAAGTGCACAACAAAAACATTTGTAAAACAAATGTAAACAAACTGCATTAGGGATTCAAGGACAGGAAGTAATCACAGATAGCAATTGGAGGTATTGAAGGGGGAACTACTATAATTTTTATTGCTACATTATATACAGTAGAGATGCAAGCAGGAGTAGTGTTGATGTTAAGCATCATTATTCTCTATCAGTTATACACTGAGCATGTATGGTAAGTGAAGCAAATAGTCATTTTTCATTCTAGTTATCCATAACAAAAAATATACCGTCAGTATTTGAAGTGATTATGTGATATATTAAATTAGAATGCTTACAAGCTCAACATTTTTTGAATATGCTTTAGTTTAAGTACATATTTATGATACAGTTCCAATAAGAACAGTTGACTTGTTCATAGCAATGTACAGAAGAGATTAACAAACTTTTCTTCAAGTATCACAATAGCTTACAACATAATCCATGGAATTTTTGTATTTCTTGAAAGTATTGTAATTGCACAAAAACATCTATGAATTACTTTTATTTAAATTTGTTACAGTCCTGTAGCACAGTGGTCTACGTCCTTGACTCACAACTGAGGGACTCGGGCTTAATCCCAGGTAGGATAGAAACAGTGGGGCAAGTTTTCTTTTCATCTGGTGCCTCTTGTTCAAAGAGTAGTAAATAGGTACTCAGGAATTTGGCAACTGTTGTGGGTTGCATACCTGGAGTTTGTTTCAGGAGTTCTTCTACTCCCCGAGCCCGCCGGTGTCAGGAGGGAGTGTCTGGTACACTTAATTATAAGACTTGTCTTCCCCACTCTTCTCACTTTGTCACTGTCAACAAATCAAGTGGAATGGTGCTGTGGCCAATGCGGTTATCTCTAAAATCTGGGGGAGCCACTTGTTTGGGGTTCTGTGCTCCCTTGTAGCAGGATTTAGGTCTGTCTCAGGGGACCTTCTCTCCAAACATAGGACATAGGTAGAATAAGTCACTTGAGGGCTGACCTCTGCGAGTGTAACCAATCAAGTGGAAGGATAGAGTGATTAACTTTCAGCTAAGGAGAGCTTATTCCTAGACAGGAAAGGGGGAATAGGAAGAAACATGAAACAAGAAAGAATGAGCAACAATATCTGAAACAATGAGAGCTCACAGAGTAAAAATCTGTCTTCTGGAGGGAGGAATAGGTGACAATAAACAAAATGAATTTACCCAAATTTTGGCCAGTCTCAACTTAAGATTCTCCAGATTAATACCCACCAGGAACTCATAACACTATGCTACCAAGATGAGGATGAAGTATGCTACCTAGAGCTGAACACCAAGAAGTCAGTAGTCCTCAAGAGACTTGACGAGTCACTCACAGATGATACCCCTGAAAGCATCCTCCAAGACATAGAAGCAAAAAATGGATGGACCAAGCTAGTAGTAGTAATTCTTATGCCAAATATGAAATCCATGATGAAAGTCAGATTCGAAGAAATACCCATGGCATAAAAGGCCCTCTACTCGGACATTTTACTGCAAATATTACCACCTGAGCACAATCAACTAGAATATAGAACTAGAAGAATACTATGGTATAACTCGGTGCTGGACCTGATACAAGTATGAGCACACAGCTTCAACTTACAAATCAGAAGAATGTTAAAGCATGTTCTGAATGCGATCAGCAAGATCACACTTTCAGGGAGTGCAAAGACAAAATAAACCCCAAATGCCTCAACTGTGAGGGGCCGCACTCTACACTGGCATCCATTTGCCCAACAAGTAGGAAAACTCCTAAAACAAAATTAGAGATTAACCTACAACAAGAAAGAAAGCAGAGGCCAACAGTATCTATGCAGCGATAACTATGACAAATACATGGATGAATGAGGCCCGAGATAGTGTCTCTCTCTCCCCTCCTTAACCCCATTTCACCCTTCTTTTCCCAAATCCCCCTTCCCTCATCTCCCCCCATTTTCTCCCTTCACCCACCCCATCTCCCTATCCTCCCCCCCTCACCCCTCCAATCTCGAATAGACAGACATTTCCATTTTATATATAGTTTGGCTAAGCATTTTATTTTCTGTAATTATATACTCTGCACATTAAGTAAGAGTTGCACTTCACCAGTGGTGTGAAGGATAGTGAAATTTAAACTAAAAAAGTGTGTGTGCCAACACTTAAGTAAAAATATTTCTATATACAGTATGCCTATTATGTTATGTTTTGTATGTTTCCAATATTATTTCACAGCATATGTTGTCATGACTCTTCTGTATTGAACAAATCTCACATGGAAACATGTACTTAATGTAAATTTGAATTAAATATATTATTTTTCTACATTACAGTAACAGTCAAGTACTTTTATTTGGAATATTTTATTCTACTTTCTTCAGACCCTTTTTAAATTTGTGTGTGAGAATGTTTTAAGACTAATTTGTTATAAATGTAGATAAACACTCACTTTAAGACGGAATGATTGTAAATCTGCTTTGTAAAAATGTGTCCTTCTTTATTATAGTACTTGGTAATCGGAGCATAAATACTATTGCAGAGAATAAGCTGCAATATCATTGCTGAAAATTAATACCCCAACTCACATATACAAAAGAAAGTGACAACATTTTGGTCTGTCCTTGACCCTTATTACGAGTCACAAATATGTGAAATAATGTAATAGTCCCTTTTCTCAAACCTGTTAGTAGTGACTAAGATTTTATAGAGTATTGATGCTTTAGTAAAGTATTGATTAGAAGTTTACAAATTGAACAGACCTTTTGACAGTGACTGCCAGCCTTATTATCAAGTTACATGACGGAGTGAGCATTTGGATTCTTTTAATCATAATGATCCTAAGTATTTATATGTATCATAAGTTACATACACTGAAATTTAAGATTACAGCAAAATAAAAAAAAACACATGTATGTGATAACCATCCTGAGAGTAATATATATTATGTGATGCATGGGTATTGTCATACAGCAATGAAAGCTTCCACATCTCCATGTGCTTCCAGACTTGAGTCGAGTCCCCAGAGCCGTCAAATGTGCAGAGGTTTCAGAAATCCAGTGATTTGCCCTTGTGGTGTGTTTAGAGCTTTTTCAGTTCCTCATTCAGAATCATTACTTCATGTGTTTGATGGACCTATTTTATTTAAATTTAGGTCAGCCGCTTCTTGTTGGCTGTGGTATGAGATTTCAGATTCATCCTGGTTTGTAAGCAACTATTTTTTTTTGGGGGGGGGGGCCCTGGCATGACTTTTCCATACCTGAACACAGTTCAAGATCACGCTCATTTATATATTGAGTGGTCTGTCACTGAGACCAGTGACCAGAGGTGAGTCAGGTCTGTCACACTTTTTTTGGGTGGTACTGCCTTTGCACTGCTTTAGGCTTGTTTGTGCTGTCCTTACCAGAGATGTGGGTTTGTGGCAGCTGCATGTTCAGTTGCCTCTGCTTTCTGGACCTGATATCATGAAGGGTCACCAAGTTCATATGCACTTTACCATAGTATTGCATGTTTTTGCAAGACTTTTGTTGAATGGTCTCTGGTAAGCTCCATGGCAGCTTAGACGCCTTGACTGTTACCTTGCAACCATTCACTGTGACTTCTGTGCGTGGATACTCTGTTGATTTGGTGTCTCTGGTCCCTTGTTCCATGGCCTGTTTTTCTAAGGTTGTCTGCAATGTCATCAAGTTTGTCCATAAGTTTGTGGCTCTGTCCTTTGTTTTTTAATGTCTGGGCTCGTTAGTTATTGAAAGTTCTTGGTCTTTGCCAGGCTTGTGTGGCAAAGACCTTGTGTAACCCCCATTTATAGGGGTTACTTTCTGCAGTTCTCTCTTCTGCACGTGGTAAGTACCTCTTTCTATTTTTTCTCCATGGTGACAGCATCAAGGATTTCTCCAATAAAACCAGAGTTGAATGTAATGAAACGCCTCTTTTTGGTGGGTCCTTGGGACTCTCCCTTCCCTGTTTAGGGACCTCAGTTTTTTCCATCTTCCTGGGTAAATGACCGAGGTTCAAGGCTAGGTTAGGGGATCCAGGAGAAAGATGCACAACCCCCTGTTGGTGCACACTGGAACTAATAAAACTGCTTCACAACCAGATGGTTCATTCATTTCCAGGGTTCAGTGTCTCATTTTCTATGCTTTGTTTACCTTGCTATTTGTAAGTCTTGGTTTGGCTACTTTTCTACAGGCCATTTTTTCCGGTTATCGTGATCTAGGATCCCCCTGCTCATTGTGCTTCTTTAGATTGGCCTAGTTTTGGTATCTAGTTCCTTGGAAGCTTGCAGTAACTCACAATGACCTACCACGAACTGAATAGCATGGAGCTATCCAGGTAGCTAGCACCAGGGAGCCACCAGAAAGTGGCATTTCATTACATGTATTAGATTTTTTTATAATTACCTACTTCAAACCCATAAAATACACATGGTGCTGGATAATATAGCAACTTCCAGTAACCTATCCTAAGTCTAAATCCAATCATGACCTATTCTATATTGGATTATGTAGTCTACAGGTGAGGTAATTGTGAAGAGAAAGCACTAAGCATATGTAACTACCACTTGGATGGAATATGAGGACAAGGAGCTGGGATTTGAGAATGAGTTGAAGAGATGGTGGCCAACCATTTAGAGAACCGGGGATTGAAGATTGTCCTTGCAAGAAGCAAAGTTGTTGCTCTACTGATCAGGCCAGGTGATTGGACAATATGCAGTGTACAGAAAAGATGGCTACGTTATTCTCAGGCACATATGACCCCCTCTTTATAAAGAGGGAGGGTCTCTAAACCGAAGATGAAACACACGACATTGCATTTAAATTTGATGAGCTTAGATTTATAATATGAAATGGCGGTGATCACTGATTAGGTATTGGATGTATGGAACAAGTTGGTAAGTATAGTGGAACCTTAATTCAGCAAATCTGGTTAGAACACACACTTTCCATGCCAGATTTACTCAATCGATTCAACAAACTAGTTCTCCGAAGCAGGGGATGTGTGAATTTGCTTAGGGTGTTGAGACCGAGTTCACAGATGGAGGCAACACTACAATAAGTAGTTGAGGCCTTGGGAAAGCTATTGAGAATATTTGAAACCAAATTCTATGGTTTCTTTTCACTTAATTTGCTACCATTTGAAAATTAATTTTGAGGCTGGGAATGTAAGAAATTAGCCATTTGTAGTTAAAAAAATTTGCAGACGTGTAGTAGTTGTCTATTATATGTTGAAATGAAAATTGTGTTAAATGTAATTAGCCCATACAGCACAGGAAGTGCATCCTGAAGGGATCTCTGGTTGCAATGGATCCCTAGCTGCAATGAATTGGGTTTGGTTCCATACAGTTTGTTGAATTTGGGTTATACTGTAAAGTCATAGAAGCATGTGTAATGCACATGATTTTAAGTGACAATATTCATAAAGTATGGTGGTTTTAATGTTTATTTAGTATTTATTACAGAAGTTGAATGTTAGAAATGGTACATCAGTGTCATGATAAGTTGAGAGAATGATGCTTGTTGCATGCTGCTGACGCAGTTAGGTAGGATGTAGTGCTGAAGATGGCCGGAAGCAGAAAGCTTGTGCGAGGCCTGTAAAAGAAAGCTCGAATGAAACCTAGAGCAGAGCTCGAATGAGGGCAAGAGTGGAGAGCTCGAACAACGAGGGGCAAGAGTGGAGCTCGAACGAGAGCAAAAGTGGAGAGCTCAAACGAGGGCAAGAGTGGAGAGCTTGGATGAGGCCGGAGGTGACTGTCTGCTCCACAGTGAGGCTCGTGTGGGAGTTGGAACTAGACTGTTGATGCTGATTGATTGATTGATTGATTGATTGGTGAAGATTAAGCCACTACAAAAACTGCTAGTATAAACCACTTCCTATACTAGCACCTACCTACATAGGTAGTTCCAACAATTGTTGCCACTGGCTTCATTATTCAATAACAGTTTATCCTAATCATGATTAATGCTGACAAGGGGTTTCCTGCTGGCAGTATGTGTAATCAAGGTCTATTTCACTGTTGCTGACAGCACTGGGTACAGAAGAGTTGCTCAACGTACAACCTTATTCAATTGCACTCGTATTTGTGGCTTTAGGCAATATATATACAGTATTGATTAAATTTTGACATTTTAGCAAGTAAATTAATTCACTCAATTTGTAATTCTTCGTATAAAACATCCCAGTCTCTTAAATCCTTCCAAAGGAGGCAAACCAGGACAAACAACGTTGACGTAATATTAAATCAACATTGATCCAACGTTGTTTAATAACGTTGGATCAACATTCTAAACTTTGATCCGTCTCAACATTGAATCAACGTTATTGACGTAAAATCAACATTGAATTATTGACATTTGCCCACCATGCTCAGCCCAAAGGATGGGTATGGGGTCCATAATAAATGAACTATACTAAAGCTAAAGTTGATATGCATTAGGACTGAAAGCTGCTATTATAATACACACACACATTTTCACACGTGTGATATGTATATAAAACAGGTATAGTACTGTGTATAGTGTATACATGACGGAGAAGGCAGGGATAAAAAGTCTAACAAGTACAAAGAGGAAAGCTGAAGGCGGGAGCCAATCTAACACCAACTTTCATTCATTGAAATTGTTTAACATCGTTTATACTCTTGTTGTGCCTTAGCGCACACGTGGTGGTGATTGTGGTAGTGGGGGGTGGTGATTGTGGTAGTGGGGGGTGGTGATTGTGGTAGTGGGGGGGTGATTGTAATGGTGTTGCTGATGAGTATGGTAGTGGGGTGGTGATTGTAATGGTGTTGCTGATGAGTATGGTAGTGGGGGGGGGTCATGATTGTGGTAATAGGGGTGGTAATGGGGGTGATGATTGTGATTGTGGTAATGGGGGTGATGATTGTGATTGTGGTAATGGGGGTGGTGATTATGGTAATGGGGGTGGTGATTGTGGTAATGGGGGTGGTGATTGTGGTAATGGGGTGATGATTGTGGTAATGGGGGTGGTGATTGTGGTAATGGGGGTGGTGATTGTGATAATGGGGGTGGTGATTGTGGTAATGGGGGGTGGTGATTGTGGTAATGGGAGTGGTGATTGTGGTAGTGGGAGTGATGACTGGTAGTAAGGGTGGTGATTGATACAGTAGAGGTGGTGATTGTGTCAGTGGGATTGGTGATTGTAATGGTGTTGCTGATGATCATGGTAGTAGGGGTGATGATTGTGGTAATGGGGAAGGGTGGTGACTATGTACTCACCTAGTTGAGCTTGCGGAGGGGTTGAGCTCTGGCTCTTTGGTCCCGCCTCTCAACCGTCAATCAACTGGTGTACAGGTTCCTGAGCCTACTGGGCTCTATCATATCT